TGTTGAGCACAAACCTTTCAAACAAACCTCAAACCAGGGAACAGACCATTACGGCGACCTAATGCGGGCTGACCAACTTTGCATGTGTTTCGGAATCTAATTATGTTCTCTCAGACATGCAGGTTTAATTTCATGATATTTTTCTTTAGTATAAATAGCTGGTAATAACCAAGTTGAAAATGAGATTCACGTATGAAAACTGCGGAGATTCGTGATCCAGGATTGAAACCCACAGTTTGAACTGTAGTCGAGTTACAAATACGCCTCGAATATATTTCACTGGTTTCAATTTTCATCAATATAATTCAAAATAACCAACTACTAAACACCAAGGAAATTAAATGCATATTACTATTACCTACTTATCTAATATCAAAAGAAAAAAAAACTATTAATTTTCCACCAAAAAAGTTCTACAAATAAGTTCATTATTATGAATGAATATTTTTAGGTTTAAGTTAAACTTAACTTCATTGTTTAGGCATAATTTTAACTAAATGTAATCCAATGGAACCCTGGACTCGACGATTGCGAGTAAACTCCGCCGCCTTTGCTATCAGAAAAGCTACAGTTAAAACTAACAGACTTCGAGTCTACCCGATGGAATCCAATAAGTACATATTTTGGTTCTTTTCATATTCTTAGCTACAAAAATTAAGTAAAATTTTTGTTCAAAAACAAGCAATTTATGATTTAGAATATCGTGATTCTCAGCGAGACATATTTAAAAAAATGATAATACATTTTCATCACAACCTAAAAGGTAAGTTGTCTTATATTATAAACTAGCTACTCACCCTAAATTCGCGCGGGTTCGTCTCTAGGTTGTTTCCCCATACAAACTTTAACTCCCATTTTCAACCCCTTAGGGGAAGATTTCCGGAATAAAAACTATTCTATGTCGTTTCCAGGATCCCAAACTATCTTCTTACCAAATTTCAGCTAAATTGGTTCAGTAGTTTCGGAGCCTATTCGATTGTATCGAATAAAACAAACAAAAAAGACTTTCCTCTTTATAATATTAAAATAGATTATTATATGTATAGATTATAATTTATTTTATAAAGTTTAAATAATTATTTTTATGAAAAAGATGATAGACACCCAAAATTCGAAGAACTGTCTCAGAATTAGTACTAATTTAATATTTTAAAACTAAAATAAAAAAAAGTATATTACGTGAGTTATGTACGTGTATACAATTTGTCTCTGAGCAATTTAATGAATAGCAGTTATTGCTAGTAAAATTTCGAAACAAACTATTGCTACAAAATATTTCGGGGCTTGAAACTTAACATTTCTTAGATTTTTCCATAAAGTTTTGGAACGCACCATAATTTGGGACTCTACAGTGGCATAATATTATGTATAGTTAGTTTCTTTGACAAACTGTGATTATTTATCTCAGTGGAGTTCTTATAAAGTCAATAATATAATGAAAAATAACAAAAACGATAAGATTAATTATTATTTACTCATTAATATAACGATTTGTTAATTAATAGATACTTGTAAGTTGTAATTGCTTTCACTACATATCCGGACTACAACTTGTGTAGGAAACGAATATTACACTCGGAAACATTAAGTAGATACTTTTGTAGCATTAAACTGGAAAGCAATAATGACTAATTTTGCTGTTTTAACTAAAAATACATACAATAAGGCAAATATATATAAAAATGTGTGTTTGTGTGTACTTATGTACGCACGTAAGAAGATAAACTTCTTTGGCGGACCAAAACAAAAATAACTCCAGAAAATTATCCTGCATGCCAAGACACGGCGATATGACAGACACGACGATAAAATAATAAAATAAAGATATTAAATACAATTGATAAAGGTTTCATTAAAAAATATAGTTATTTAATATATAGGATGGCCAGTGGCTACCAACAAGCATAAAGAACTTTTGCTACTTACATAAATACATACAGAAAATTAAGACATATAAGTACCTATCAAAAATAATCAAAATAAATTATTTATTTATTTCTGTATACATATAATAAAATTCTAACCAAGCCGAATCTGTACATTAAATATTTTTTGGAAAATCTTATTGAAATAAACGTTATTATCGATACAAAAGCCGAATCTATAGTTTTTAGAATTTCTGTCTGTCTGTCTGTTAGCGCATCACAGAAAAACCACTAGAGGGATTTTGATGAAACTTGGTATGGTGATAGCTGGTTATCCGGATCAACATATAGGATACTTTTTACTGCGGAAAAATGTCTCATTTCTGAGAAAAAATATAAAACTGCAATTTATGAGTATACTATGTAAAAGCTAGGAATTTGGTTTTTGGTCATCTGAAGGCGGGCGGAGCCGCAGGCAATGCTAGTATCATATAAATTATGTAACGTTTTTTAGAGCATTTAAATAAAAGCTCGTTTTTTTACTATTTTTTTTTATTTTTTCGTACGTTTCTCAGGAAACCCTTTCATTATCCACATCATGGGGGTGCATTAAAAAAACATAGTCCGCCATCTTTGGAAGTCCGCCATATTTTATTTACAATCACGTCAGCAACCCCTTTCATAAGCGTGCATTGTCACGAGAACAAAACGTGTGTGCTAAATTTCAGCTCAATCGAACACAGCAGTGAGTCAAATTTAACTTGCAAGATTTGACAGACACCGGGGCATGTGAAACTAAATAAAAACTTGTAATAATTTTATTTTTTATCCATTTAAAACACGTGTTGTTGAATATAGAAATACCGGAACAAATCTCTTGAGTATAGACATCACACTATACTAAAGGGAGATTTAACGACTAACTTCATTGTGTAGTCCAAATCTGTCGCATCGTATAAAATTAACTCTAATAATATATTTTTCCCGTTGAGAAGACTAAGGCGGGAACTACGCTACTTTTTGCTTCCGCCTAAGCCTTGTCCAACCTACGTTATCCAAGTCGGACTGTTACTTAATCAAAAATAAATAATACACTTAGATTAAAAACGTCTACTTACGTTTATAAACTGCATGAGTACGCTTAAAACACTAAGAACACTTAAAACTATAGTAATACTATTAAAACAAAAAAACTGAAAAATAACTTATATAAAAATTAACAAAAACCAATAACTACTGGAAAATAATATGAGAAAAATAACTATGAAAAAGAGCAAAAAATTTGTAAACCAAACGCGTTTAGGTTCACATACACTATCGAACTTCGCGGTATTTTGCGATTACCCTCCAAAAATACTGAAAAGTATTCACAGATAATAAAATGAAATAATGGTTTAAAAATTTTTGCGAAATATAAATTAATTATATAACTCAATATTTTACATAAATCAAATACAAACTCATAAATGCATGCGTGAATTGAAAATAGCATATTTCTATTTTAAAATCTCATTAATCTGATGACAATTTTCACTTTTAATATGCTAACTCTTATCTGATTAATTATTATGCGATATTAATCTGCTGTGTCCGGAAAGCGGTTTATAAAACAAAAATTTACATTTTTGTCAAGATTTAAGATTATTTTGTTTAGATTATTGTTTTAGTGAAATTATCAAAATATTAATACAATAAAGCCTGAATTGTTATGAAAATATGGATTTTACACGAAAAAGGATATTTACTATTCGTAATCTTTTGTAATGACTCATTTAGGTATAGAAATATATAGAAATGTATGGAAATGTTCTAAATTTAAGTCTCCGTTACTTTTTTCTCCTTCGTTTCTTCAAAATAATTTTTATACATTTGAACTCCCTATCACCTCCTCTATCCAAAACCACCCACTTCTCCAGGGGCCGCGTCCCATATACTAAACTTGTGCCGAATTTCGAAACATCTATATCCTTATCGAATGCCTACATCGTATATAGGAATACGTCCTCCAAATTTCACGTTTCTACGACCAGCGGTTTAGGCTGTGTGTCGATCCTTAGTCAGTTAGAGCTCAGCACCGCAGGATGTACCTCTCCTTCTCAATTCCTCCTTCAGCTGGTCTTACTTCCAGTTACAATACATGGCACAGATGCGAACACAATAGAAGCAAAAAAATCAGGTACAAAAGAGATATAGTAATAAATTGCTTAACCTGAATATAAATAGGCCATACGTGCGGCGCCTTCCTTTCGAGAAATCTTCCCCATTGTCATCCATGGTAGAAAATTTGACGCTAAATCTAAAGAGTCGAACTGCATTATGGCAATAGCTAACGAGGTGAGTCGCTAGTTAAGTAATAATATTATAGTTATTAAAACGTTAAAAAAAGCATGTAAAAACAATAAAAATATAATGACAATATATAAAATTTTAAATAACACGCCATCTCGCAAAATATTAAAGAACTATGTACTTTTTTTATAGAAAATTGTACTGCTTTATCAACATACACACGCCTGTAGCTGTTGTGACAATTTTTATATTTATTGCCAGTTAAGTATGTAAAGTCTGCTTAATTTGAGGAAAATCAACAAAGTAAAAACTATTAATAATATTGTGTAATGTCTAAAGTCCAATTCATGTTACTCAATATAACTTATAAAAATATGGTGTAACTTCTTTATGCCAAACAGAAATCAAATAACATTAACAAAAAAATAATTAGTGAAATCAATTTTTTTCTTTAAAAACAAATGAGAAAACACAACAACAAACAACTTTACTCATTTGTTTTTTAAAAGACAAAAACTACTGCCATTAAAAGTAATAGAATTTTACTTTTATCTAGTTGACACTGGCTACTTCGTCCAAAACCACAGGCTCCATTTTTGGTGTTACTATACATAATATGTATTATGTACTATCAGTCTATGAACTTGTTTCTATACAGATATAATAATGTTACTGTAAACTTTCATTAATACCGAAAAAAAATAGACTTATGGACTATAAAAATATCACTAACTGGCAGCACAGTGCAGGACTGCCATGATTTGGCGTTTGTCTATCTAAGTGTTGTCAAGTTGTCAGTTCACTGTGACTACAATCGCTACGTCTCGAAGTTAATAAAATACCAAGATGTGTATTTTAAAACATATTTTAAATGCGTTTTTCCTTTTATTCTTACTGTTAAGTCCCATTTTAGCTGAATGGAACACTAGGGATTATATTCGACGAGAGCATTCACTTACAAAACCTTACCAAGGTAAGTGACCTGCACATTGACTTTGAACTGAGTCTTTTCAAATAATAAAATAAATTGGTTAATTCCAGGTAGTGGTATGTCAGTGCCGTACTGGGACTTCTTAGGTAATACGATAGTTACAACAAATTATGTACGTTTAACGCCCGATATGCAGTCGAAAGCCGGTGCTATCTGGAATACTGCGGTAAGCTTTGAAATCACTATATACTAGGTATAACAATAAATGTCACACATTGATTTATTTATAATCTAATTATGAACACTAATGAATAATGAGTAGTGATGCATTATATTATTTTTACATATATTACCTAAATTAAATTAATTAAATAATAAATTTAATCAATAATGTTTGATGTGGTAGGTATGCTTTTTATGAGGCTATTAATAGATAAGGAGCTACCTTGTTGATGCTTACTTAGAAATATTAATTAAAACAAACATTGACAAATGGCTTCAAATAATTCTAGATTAAACAGTTGGGCCCTCATCTAAACATCCACTTAAATTTACAGTTATCATTAAATATAATGATTATAAAATAATGTAGGCTAAAGCAATAAAAATAGCTCCTACATACTATTTTGAAATTGTTAGATGGTAATAAAACATTGTATGGTGCAACGTGTGTATGGTAACAACTGATAATCTTGGTGATAAAACTCGTGCCAATATTCATACTATTTTAAGTGTATCTATTTTAAAGCTATTTAACAATGTACATACAAAGACTATATCTGTGCTACTAATGAGGTCGTCTAATATAATCAAGGTTATATAAATTTTTCTGTACTACATTTTATGCAAACATAACTATTTTTAATTTTTAGAGCTCTATAAGAAAATGAAACTTCTGCATTTCAACAAGAAATCGAATAGTTTTGTTATTACCTTATTATGTTCACACATGTGTGTGGAACATATTACTTAATTTTGACTTTCAAATGGTGCCAATTTAAATTTAGTTATTTTAAAATAATTGCTGGCAAAATATTAGAACAAAAAAATGTTTATCCAGACATAAATGCATTTCTCTACAAAGTAAATGCATTTCTCTACAAAAGATTTTTAAATAGTTATTTATATAAACTGAAAATAATAATTTCACATTTTTTTCTATTTCTACTGTTACTTATTAGATATGAGTAAGCAATATGTCATTGCATTATGATAGGCTTGTAATTAAAGAAGGAAAATATTTTGCCTACACAATATTTTCTATTACATTTAATCTGTTTATTGATTTTATTTATCTGACAATTAAATTTAGAGTATATGTATAAATAAAAATATATGTAAAAACAAAAATGTTATTGTTTCAAACATTATGATGTATTTCATTCAAAAACAGATTTCATTAGGTTATTTATTTAAATAAATCAATTGAATAAAGTACAATAGAATGAAGTTTTTATAAAAAAAAAATGGTGATTGTGGGCTCTCTTACATTGGACAAACAAAACGATCCATTAGAACCCGGGTCAAAGAACACATAGCTGATGTGAAGCACCGTCGCAATACAACATCTGCTGTCTGCAAACATAGCCAGGACCGCCCAAGCCATTATATTCGTTTCGATAGACCTCAAATCCTGGCGAAAGAAAACCGATATCGCCCTAGAATGATTCGAGAAGCCATAGAAATTAAAAAACATCCAAATTTCAATAGGGAAGATGGCTGGGTACTACCATCGTCATGGGATCCTGTTATTAATATAATAAAATCAAATAATAAATATAAACATAACAGACAGGCAGATGTAGTAAGTTCATACTGTGTAGATCAAAATGACAGCTTATCAGATTAATATTTTTCATTTGTAAAAGTATATATTAATAGTGTTGCTTAGTAAGTTGTTTTTAAATAATAGCAAACTAAATTAAAATGATTATCCGTAATTAATTTTAACTTTTTAAATTACACATAGAACAATTATATGGCTTTAATAATTAATACTATATTTTTATATTTTTTATTTATGGTTATAAATATAATAATGGCAACACTAAATATAGATTACTAATTAATATTTTTAAAATTGTAATAATTATAAAAATAATAGCAAAAATTAAATAAATAATTTTCCATATTCAATTATAATTAAAATTATAAAAAATGTTTAAAGTTAAAAATATTGTAATGTAATTGGTGCAATTTTCATTTTGTTAATTGTGGGTAGGCTGTCTGTAACAACTATATCTTTAAGACATGTAACACCTCAGTCTCTCCCGTGACCATGGATGCTGTAAAGCATTCGAAACGTCGGGAACCAAAAATCAAAATAAATCCGCGAAATAATCCGAAAAGATAGTTTTATTTAAAAAAAAATGGTGTATGTAAAAGACCTAAATGGTCCCTTTTTAAGTACTTTATCTTTTTTTATTGAAAATTGCTAGTATTTACCTAACTTTTTTATTACAGCCATGTTACACACGGAATTGGGAGTTGCAAGTGCAGTTCAAAGTTCATGGTCGTGGCAAAGATTTGTTTGGAGATGGCTTCGCCATCTGGTATGTTCGTGATAGGATGCAGACTGGGCCTGTCTTTGGCAGCAAAGATTATTTCCAAGGACTAGCAATCATACTTGATACTTACAGCAACCATAATGGTGCCCATAACGTAAGTTTTAACTTCCATATCTTTATTTTTGACATATCTCTGGCATGAATTACCATTAGGAGAATATATGTAGTATAACTATTGGTTATTATCAAAGTTATCTGTAGGTATTCTGTAAATTGTTCTCAACGAAAATTTGCACACACTTAGTATCCTAACCTACAACAAAAAAATTTAATCAGTTTATAATGTAATTAACCTACCAATGGCTGAATGAACAATTTGTCAAGTAACTATAAAATTTGACAGGTTAAGTGTTGATATGGAAAGTTTTCCTTATCACTCCATTCCTTTTAGTAATTATTTGCTATAGACAAACTCAGTTAAAACTTTTATATACATCACTTGCTACTTACCCTCACGTTGCTCGGATGTGACCCTAAGAACCTTAAGAGTAGCCTATATTATGTTACTTCAGGTTATGATCTACCAGTTTTCTAAATTACTCAAAGTCTGTCCATCCTTTTTAGTATGAAAAAGTAACAGACATACATACATACTTTCGCATTTATAATGGTATTGTCATATTATTTAATATTATTCCAGCATCAACATCCCTACATATCGGCGATGGTGAACAACGGCACTCTCCACTACGATCATGACAGAGACGGTACACATACTCAGCTTGCTGGATGTGAGGCAAAGTTCCGTAACTACAACCACGATACCCATCTCTCTATTATATACAAGGATGATACACTTGTTGGTAAGTTTTTACATCTAAGGTTTAACATTAGCGAATATTAAAATATTATGAAAATTGGAAAATGTTGATCGAGAACAGTGCCTTGAATAATTCTAAATAACTAAAAAGTTACTTCACTTAGTTACTTCACTGACGTTACATTACATTTTTCATTTAAAATTAATGTGGACCACCCTTGGAGGGTTGGTATCCCTATTTATTGAAAACTAGCGACGCACCTACGCTTCGCTCGGGTTCGTCTCTAGGTTCCTTACCCATACAAACTCATCCCCATTTTCACCCCCTTAAGCGATGATTTCCGGGATATAAACTATCCCATGTCCTTCCCAGGGTCTCTAACTATCTTCTTACCAAATTTCATCAAAATCGGTTCAGTAGTTTTGGAGCTTATTCGGTACAAACAAACAAAAAAATCTTTTCTCTTTGTAATGATAGTATAGAAACGATCAAAGAAAATTGATTTTCATAATTATGATAATTGGCTTAATTGGCAATAAAATTGTGTCAGAACAAATAAAATACATCCAAAAAAATTACAACTGTATTTTTTGAAGCAATTCAAAAATTATTTTAAGAATATTTATTTACTTTCAATATATAAGTATGAAATATTGGTCAGTCACTGTTTAATCACAACTTGACAGCTTTTGAAAGTTAGAATCATGGGTAGAATTTTTGAAAATTTACAATTTAAGGACCAAAAGAATCACATCATATGAAAGTTTAAAGAAAACTTTCAAAGTGTACCAACTAATTATTTAAATCAATATCTTCAACAGTATCAACAGACTTGGAAGGCAAAAACGCATGGAAGGAGTGCTTCAAAGTGGAGAATGTACTGCTTCCAACAGGTTATTTCTTTGGTGCTTCGGCAACTACTGGTGACCTCAGCGACAACCATGACATTATAGCTGTTAAGATGTATGAATTGGATCTGCTTGATTCGGTTAGTAATTGAAAACATTTCTTTTTTTACTTTTGTTAGCCTTTTTTTATTCCAAATACATACTTTCATCCCCATTTTCACCCCCTTAAGGGATGATTTCCAGCATAATAATTATCCTATGTTCTTCCCAGGGTCTCTAACTATCTTATTACCAAATTTTATCTAAATCAGTTCAGTAGATCCAGAGATTACCCCCTGCAATGTCATAAACTCACAAACTTTATCTCTTTATAATATTAATGTATAATTAAGTTAAGTCTGGATGAATGAGATCAATTGTGAATCACAATATAGTCTTTATCTCAAAATTGCTTGGTACATTACATTAGAATTTATAATATTTATAACTGAACGTATACATATATATATTATGTATAGTATCCTATGTTTTAATTACTCCAGATTATAGTCTACCTGTGTGCTATATTTCGTCGATATCTGTCCAGCCATTTTCTTAATACTAGTGCGAGTTTATACGTGACTGTTCATACGTAGTGAAGTTCACACATAGGGTATGTCCATAAAAAGCAGTTTTATGTATTAATCGTGAATATAAGCTACTATTTTTAATATTACACAACATGAACAAGGAACACTCCCACTCACTTATTTTTATTTAAGTTAATAATAATAATAGAATTTAGTATTTAACAAGCATTGAGAATAAATAAACAATATTTTTGTGATGAAAAACATTTACCAGTATTTTCAACTTAGTTTTATGGACTAAATAAGTAATAATAATAAATTAACAGTATTATCACTTTTTCTTCGCATTTCAGCAAAACAAAGATGAAGACAGATCGCACATAATACCCTCAGCGGCCTCGTTCGAAGCACCGAGGGAACGTATAGAGGACTCCAAGCCAGCCATGTCCGGAGTAAAAACTTTTCTTTGGATGATGTGCTGTGCCATTATTGTTATCGTTCTCGTTGTTGTAGGCATTATGTGGTACCAAAAGAGGCAAGAAAATTCTAGAAAAAGGCTCTACTAATTTTTTTAGTGTGACTCTAAAAAATGTGTTGTATGAGTTTGTAAAAAATATATTGTTTGTAATACCATAGATTCAAATCTTGAATTTAAACCAAAATGTATCTCAATTAAATTTTATTGTTAATGGCTTCAAAGCGTGCCAGAAACTTATCTGAGTATCAAATATTATGTTTAATAATTAAAATAATTGATGTCAAAATCTAGCAGCAAATTATCATTTTTAATCAATGAGAGATGAGTGTTGCCTTTACATAAAAATTCTAAAGTACAATTCAGATTTTGCTGGTTTTAAATATATGATTAAAATTAATTTTTAATAACGTTATTAAATAAAACTATCTTTTCGGATTATTTCGAGTCATGGTCTCTCCCGTGACCATGGATGCTGTAAAGCATTCGAAACGTCGGGAACCAAAAATCAAAATAAATCCGCGAAATAATCCGAAAAGATAGTTTTATTTAATAATGTTAAACATTCGCGTAAATCTAAGAAAGTATTATTTTAATAACGTTATTTCACTACATTCTTGAAATTTTAAATTTCATATAATATCTCAGAATTATACATATATTCTTCCACAACACATAACTTTTTAATGTCAAAATCATACAAATATTATTTAATGCTAGTTTTATGTATATCCTACGTAATGAAGACTGTTACAATATTTATAATGTATTTAAATAATATGACTGGCTAATATTATATATATATATATATATATATATATATATATATATATGTCAGGACCAACTAGCTTTATTAAACGTTTAATTGGCGGCCTAGCTTTTTTGAAGTTTACTTCTTTTGACACGTTAGGAAAAAAATATGAGAGTAAAATTTTACGATGCGCGCGCACACCGCATGATGAAGTTAGCTGCATTGAGTTGTGAGTTGTGACATCGGACTGAAATCCTTAGCTATATTTGTTCTGGTACGCCAAAGAAGTATAACTTCTTACGTGCGTACATAAATACACACATACGTTTTTTATCATTGAACGGCGCCATTTAATGAAAAGTTCTAAATGATATTCAGCCAATGCGACAGATGCTTAGGCCGATCATAGAATAAGGTAACCGTGTGACGAAAATATATGAAATATTTAATATTGAGAATTCTTTATTTATGTAAAATAGTTAAGTGATCAGTTAATTGCACGGTTTATTATAATTACTCAAATCCGCTTAAAAACGGCTAGTACTTTTAGAAAAAAAAGATAAATTTATAAATAAACTTAATTTCAATGACTTGGCTAGTTATTAAACGATATTGAACCAATTCATTTGCCTAGCTATTAAATTAAATGCCGGGATGTCATTTAGCCGTTAATTAAACGGCATCGTTTAATGAAAGGGCTAGGCCACTAATTAAACGGCTGATTAAGCTAGTTGGCTGCAACATATACATTATTTTATTAAGTGAATTACAGAGATTTCTCAATGCCGGATCCTGTAAGATAATTTATTTGTTCTATTGATATTAGACATAATATAAAACTTTTTTTTTCAAACCTTTTTCATGAATATATATAAAGTTTTGACAGATTCTATTTCATCACAATATTAGGTTATCTATGAACAATTACTGTTGCTCGTTAAAAAATGCGTGTAAAGAAAGTCATCTCCACAAGAATTTATTTTTTCGTGCGATTGATTTGTGTGTAATAAACAGAATTGATTTTTTTTAATGTTTAATCTAAATATAGATTTATAATTGCAGTTCTTTGATATATAAAAACATAGATACACATTTCCTAACAAATATCCCTTTAAAAAGTGGCGTTAAGTCAAACCAAAGAATGAAATTCAAAATTCGAAAGTTCTAATTGTTTAAACACAAATTCGAACTTACGCACACCACATAAAGTACTTTTTAAAACGAATTCACGTGCGTTTTATTTTTGTCATCCGAAAAGCAATGAACAAAAGATATTTGAAAGAAACTCAATTTCATTTCGAATGGTGCACTTTTTTCGAGGACACTTGAGAAGCTAATTGTGTATCTTGAATTTTTATGTATCAATGTTGCAATTGAAATAATTTTACTTTTGGTGGTAGTCATTCCTATTTCCTAAGAAAATAAATAATTGATATATTGGAAATCAATCAAGTTATGTTAAATATGTTTATATGAATAATTTAATTAAAAAAAAAACAATAATTTTAGTCTTGAGTAGAAATGAGTCTGTGAAGCGTAAGAAGTATAAAAACTGGATGAATAAAACTTAAAAAGAAATGTTAAATTTAACTTAACGGGAATAGAACGTGTGACATGAGTATAAAAGTATTTTATGGAGTTGGCCATTGATAATTTATCAAGTTCAGGAAAAAGCTAGTGTGGTACATTAAAGGTATTGAAAATAACGAATATGTTTGATTTATAATTTTAAAAGGAAATAAAATAAACTTAGCAATAATTTCAGTAAACATCAAAAGAACAATGTGAGTAAATGATAAAAATATTTTCATATTGTTAGTGGTGTTTTCCTTTTAATTTTTTTTTATTGTTTGCTTAATTGTTAACGGTTTGTTTAATTTGAAACTATGGCTATGGTTTTCTTTTGTTTTATCCGAAAATGTTTTTCAACTCGCCTGTTAATTCAGTTTTTGTATAGGTAATTGATTTACTAATTATTAATATTTTATATTAATAATAATGTATCAAATGTATGTTGTTTCACTATATGTCTTAACAAAAGTATTATTTTGTATTTTTGAAGCTATATTTCTTTTGGCACGTTTGAAAAAATTGTGAGAGTAAAATTTTTAAGATGCGAGCGCACACCGACAGCCAAAAAGCGACATGATGAAGTTAGCTGCATTCCTTTTACAGAGTTATGACATACGGGTTGAAATCTTTACCTATTTTTGATTTGTTACGCCAAAGAAGTATAACTTCATACGTGCGTACATAAATACACAGACACGTTTTTATTAATTGGAAGAATATTTTGATCTAAATGTAAGCTTGGTTAATTTTGATAGAAAATTTATTTTTTATCAAATTTGAAGAAGTAGAAAAATTTCCATTTATAAACTATATTATAAATTGACATGATGGATGGTGTATGTTTTGCGTGTTTTGAAATAAAGTGGTTTCTAATCTTTTAACCCTGGCCGTCTTTTATTTATCTAGATTTTAAATAGAAACTTATCGTTAAACGATATACTTTATCAATGAATCTTATCTATGATATTACTTGATACATTTTTGCCACTTTGTATTGTGGCATTTATAATGTACTAGCATCGCCCGCGGCTCCGTCCGCGTTCAGATGACGAAAACCAAATTCTTAGGTTTTATATATTAGTATATATGTACTCTTAAATTGCAGTTTTTGTATTTTTTCTCAGAAATGAGATATTTTCCCGCGGTGAAAAGTATCCTATATGTTGACCCGGATAACCAGCTATCACCATACCAAATTTCATCAAAATCCTTCCAATGGTTTTTGTGTGCTGCGGTAACAGACAGACAAAAATTCTAAAAACCATAGATTCGGCCTCTGTATCGATAATAAACATTTTATTTCAATAAGATTTTCCAAAAACTAATGTACAGATTCGGCTTATTTACAATTTTATTATATGTATAGATATTGTGCTTGTTTTATATATACAGTACCTGGGCCACCGAGCTTCGCTCGGAGTTTTTAGTCAAAAGTACAATTTTCTTTAAAAAAAACTAAAAAATTGAATAAACATTAAAAGAAAATAAAAGTGAAAACTTTGTATGTGACCGAGATTCGAACCTGGACACCTGTGATTGTTGATCTTGCGCCTTGGCCGCTTGACCACGATGCATACAGTCGAGCGTGCATATTATCGACCAAATTTTGCGTGGAATAATGCAAAAGAAAACTGCATGAACTCGAAAACACGCGTTTTCTCAGGCATAAGACTAATCTAGATCGATTTACCGCCTCCGAAACCCCCAGCGTACAAAATTTCATGAAAATCGTTGGAGCCGTTTCCGAGATTCAGATTATATATATATATATTGATATGGATATATATATATACAAGAATTGTTAAAAATTAATTAATTAACTTAATTAATTAGGCAGTGGTAGCCCAGTGGTAACGCGCTTGCTTGGGAAACCGAGTGAAGCGGGTTCAAATCCCGGGTCTCGCACCTCTGATATTTTCATGTGCGAATCATTTCTAACATGATTACCACTTGCCTTACGGTGAAGCAAAAACATCGTGAGGAAACCTGCATGTCCGAGAGAACCTAGCAAGTTTTCGAAAGACATGTGAAGTCCGCGAACCCGCACTTGGCCAGCGTGGTGGACTATGGCCTGATCCCCTTCGTTTTGAAGGGAGGCCCGTGCCCAGCAGTGGGACGTTAAAAAGGGCTGAATACAATTAAAAATAAAAAGTAAAGTATTTTTAAACTTTTTACCCGAATGCGGATTCTTTATACTATTAAATTTAACAATAAAGCTTTTAGTATGTCTCAGTCGAGGCGTAAATATTTTTAAATCTCAAATTTATAAGGGTCACATACCACCCTTTTAAATTTGAGATTTTTTAATTAAATCTACTAATAATAGTTTTTAAATAAAAAATATAATAAGTATTTGAAATCACAAAATTAGAAAGAAACTCAAGTAGGTAGATGAAATTAAATACTGGCCGGCGGGTAGCCCTGACGCGTGGTTACGTTCCGCTCGGCTGTAGGTAATTATTTCAAGGACAGGGCCGAGTTGGAATACTGTATGCATATACATTACCGTGACCGTACAAAACATGTACACAACGAACGAATCGCCGCGTTCGCGTAAGGTCAATCGCGTATTCGCTTGATTCGTTCATTTACCACGCAAATCCAATTCGAGTCAGAGAGAATTCAACTCGAGTTAAATCGAGTTAAGCCCAACTCGAGTTAACTCGAGTTAGTAACTCGAGTTGACACATCTGTATATCAATTATCATGTATTCTTCTTAATCTGTGGTGTTGATTAGTAATAGTGATGTTTGGAGTTTATTTTCCTTTAATTTCATGATTATTTTATAAAATGAATATAGGAAATAATTAGCAATTTTCAATATGCTCCAATTAAAAGTATGCATGGTATGCTTAAAAAGTGATGTGAAAGTTTTTAGTATGAATACAGGTCAACTAAGAAAGGAATATAATTTAGCATCAGGTTTAAAGGTAAGTTTTTAACATAAAACTTAAAGACAACTTGTCTAAAAAATATCGTAAGTCGAATTGCTTTATTTTTGATATAATTTATTACGTTTCATTAGTTTTTGGATACATTCATATATTCATATTTTTTTATAATTATAGATAGAGAAAAAGTATATAAATCTACTAGTAATTTTTAGACTTTTGTATTTGGTTAAAAATTAATATCTACAATAAAATTATGAATCTTTTATTACAGACTAATAGTCATAACGGATTACCTGAGTATTTGTGTTATCAATGTGTAGCTTATGTAAGAAATTTTAAGAAGTTTAGAGATAAATGCCAACGTACATATTATGCTTTGCAAGAAGTACTACATAGAAATAAAGAGGTAAATTTTAAGTCATTTGCTTTCTGTATTCTATTCCTTATATTCTTCGGAAATTGTAGTTGTATACTACAAAAAGTTTAAAATAAATTATAATATTCATAGAGCATACTAAAACTTTAAAATTATTGCTTTAAAAATATATAATTAAAAAATAATTGGTGTACTATGAGAAGGTATTATTTTGATAGCTTTTATTACCATTTTTATTTGATTTTAGATTACCAAAACTATCATTGAGGAAATAGATACAAAAATATTAAAAATAGAGCCAACTTTGTCATATTTGACTCCAAATCATTCAAGGACTAAGTATGAAAGAGCAAAATTTAAATGGATAAAACATAACCGAGTAGGATTAAAACATCAAGATGAAATCTCAGTATTCCAATACACTACAACATCTGATGATCTCATATTTGAAGTTCCTAGAAAAAAACCCAAACTTTCAAAGGACTTAGTTGAAGAATGTATAAAACAAGAAGATAAAACTATTGCATCTCTGAAACCGTCACTTGAAAATGAAAAAGTTGTTGAAATAGAAGTTAATGATAGTATCTTTGATAATAATTTTGATAATTGTGATGAAGAAATTATTGATATTGATAATATTGACATTAATGTTACTAATGAAGTACAATCAAAAGGAGATGAAGATGTAGATGGAATGAATTTAGAAGAAGAATATGCCACAATGTGTCCCATATCAATAGTAGAAGCAGAGGCCGTTGCAGATGTGTATAAATTGTTTGCACAGGGCAAATTTCAATGCACTGTGTGTAAGAAGGCTTATTATAATGAAAACCGTCTTAGTGCTCACATGAGAATGCACGATACAGTAATTATTTTATTTATATCATAATTTTTAAAAATTGACGAAAGTGTGAAGTATTTGAAAAATTAATATTTCAATTATGCTCTTTTCAGCATACAAGTGGGTCATACTTCTGTGGTCTCTGTTCTTATTACTACAGAACAGAATTTCTGTTAAGAACTCACATGACTGAAAAACATATGTACAAATATTTATGTAAAAAGTGTCCTGAAGTAAATTTTGATAGGTTTGTATAATATATGTATATAAGATGTAGCATTTAGTTATTTAATATAATAAAATGGTACTTTGAACTGTGATTAATATACCTATTTCTTATTGAGTCTTTCATAATACAAGCATAATAGAATAATTAAAATTGTAATTGTAATCATTTTCTAACAAATATGTATACATCTAATTTAGTGCTCAATTATTTAAAATTTTTTATCTTTATATTTTGATTTAATTATATTATAGAACATCAGCAAAACAACATTTTATATGGGCTCATCTACAGAAGGGTTCGAAAAAAGATGCAAACTGGTATGAATCTCAACCTTCAACAGCTACTAAAGGTAATAAGAAAAATAAGTTATTTATACGACCTATAAGAAATAGCCAGAGATTACCTCAAGATTTCCCTGTATACTCACCAATTAGCCAAGAAGAACAATATGCAATAGTCAAGGAAAGGCAGAAAACTAAAAACTACATAGACTCACCATTTAAATGTGAATACTGTTATAAGGGCTTTAGAGAAGTGATCACTTATAAAAAACATATGAAGAAGCATGATCCTGTAAGTTTTTTTATGTATATTTTTATTATTTACTTATTCAATTAATATTTGTAGGAAAATAAATAATATATTAAATGGAACTTGTTACTGGAATTTATGTTAAACCTCAGAGGACAATATCTATATAAGAACAGATAACCTATTCTATGCAAAAAATTGTATGGCGCTAAATTGTGCTATTCTTTGGTTTATTTTTTTTTTATTAATATTTACTGTGAAATTCGAACATAATCATAATTAAAAATTGTGGAAAACAAACAATATAATTTATCTATGTATCTATTTAAAAAAAAACTGTTTCCAATTTTTTTTATTAATAACTTAAGCTTGCCAATAGGTGCTAAACAAAAAATAAGAAAGAAAATCGGTAGACAGAGATATGAGAAAAAAGTACTGAATTGTTTTGACTTTGTCTGTTTATATGACATACTTGTACATATGTACTAAAACACATTACATATTATGTAAAATCTACTTTACAATATTTAATAAAATTGGACTTGACTAAAAACAGTGCCACCATTTAAGAATATGTAGTACAAAATCATTATTTAATCACTTATTTTTAAATCAGAATACTTATAACATTTAGAACTATTCTCTGTTTTTATTAATTTTACATGGTTAGTAAATAGATAGATACGATGCCATCTATTGACATTTATTTGATTTAATTTATCTTTGTTCCTCATAAAACTTCATGGTTAAATAATGTTTATTGTTTATTATTTCAGGCACATTCAGGTAAACTACAATGCGATGCTTGCAAAATATATTGTCCAGATGCGAGAAAAATGTACAAACATATGAACATGAGTCATTTATTCAAATATTCATGTCAAATGTGCAGCTATGTTTGTTTCAGCAGGTACTTTTTGGTTTACTTATTTGTGTGAACTTATTAAAATTATCATAGTATGGAATAGATAGACTATATTGTATGATAAATAGTCTATAGTCTTTCTCAATAAACTGGCTATCTAATGCAAAAAGATTTTTTCAAATCGGATTAGTAGTTCTTGAGATTAGCGCCTTCAAACAAACAAACTCTGTCTCTATAATATTAGTATAGAATACAGATATAAAATATTGTTTTTTTTATTACAGAGGTCAAGCAAAAATGCACTACAAATGGCATAAAAATGTTACATACTCATGTCCACACTGCAATAAAGAATTTACGTAAGTGATTCACACTAGTATGAACTAGATAAATCATATAATGTGAAAGTTTGTGAGTGTGTATTTATTATAATCACACTATAAGAGGAACTAATGATTGTTTTTTTTAAACTTATAACATAGACTTTTTTAAATTGAAGTAAATATCGTAGGCTTTTTTCGACAAATATCAAAACAAGGTGGAACAAAATTTTGATGTGTTTCTTTGTTGTGCGATATCTTCGCACATGGTTAAATCCCTCCAGTGGCTTTTCTGTGATGCGGTAGCATATATGTACCTATAGATTATACCTCAAGCGTGGTCTAATATAAATTTTGAGAAAACTCATCCCTGACAGTGAAATAATCACTTTTAAAGCTGATGTATATTTTTAGTCAAAAAGTGTCCCTTAGGTGCCTAATAGTGGCTTTTTTTTTAACGTTGGGAAATGCATTTACGCACGAAGTGTGGGACTCACCGGCGAAGCCAGTACTATCCACTAAAACCCAACAAAACCTTCCCCCGTCTTAATGGGGCGTCGCAGGATCGCTTACTCATTCAACTACGACGCCCCGACGGCAGGTCTGCCGAAGCAGACCACAACAACCATGGGGTTGCTCCACGGTCCACTCTGCTATCAGAGAAGTACCAGGAGCAACCCGCATGGTACACCACCCTGCGAAGGCCGCCTCCCACCGCCCACCGAAGCGGGCCACCTCCCTGTGCGTTTCTTGGCTTCGCGAGTACACTACTGAGCCCCCCCACCACGACAAGGTGAACGCACGTTGGGGGGGCCTAACAGTGGCCTATGTCTTACCTCAGGTTAACATATATCTTCGAACTCACCCAAATCCGTCCAAAATGTTTAAGCGTATAGCGTAAACAAACACCCATACACACACACACATATATGAAATTTTGCTTTTATAATAGTTGTTAGATCACTTTTTAGTTCTAAAACTGGTTAGTAAAAAACATTTATAAATTTTCCAGCAAAGCGTCAACAAGATTAACCCACATACGTATCAAGCACCCGTCCACCTACATCTGCAACCTCTGCGGGCACAGCTTCGTAAGCGTCACGGGCCTTTACTGCCATAAAAAGCTTGCTCATACAAAACAGGTATATCATTTAACACAATATTTGTTACAGAGTTCATTACTTAATAACCAGATGTACCCGTAAATTTAAATTTTGTTTTTTTTAATATGTAATTATTGAATATGCTATATTTCTATCACGTTTTTGTTAAATTTTCAAGAGAACTTCTAATACTAATTTTACTACAGATATATCTATTTTATGCATTAGATATTAGCAAATTCGCTTTTGTAAATGTCTGATGGATTTTAATAAAGTATCTGATGGATTCAATATTTTCTTTTGTAGTTACAGATTAGGTTATCTAACCTAAACTAATTCTAAGCAAATGTGTTAATGAATGACATATATTCAGTGAGTGCTTTGAGTTCTTATTAATTACTCGTACATTACAGGAGAAAAAAAAGACAGTGGTAGCCCAGTGGTAACGTGCTCGCTTGGGAAACCGAGTGAAGCGAGTTCAAATCCCGGGTCTCGCCCTCTGACATTTTCATGTGCGAATCATTTATAATATGATTACCACTTGTTTTAACGGTGAAGGAAAACATCGTGAGGAAACCTGCATATCTAAGAGAATCTAGCAAGTTTTCGAAAGACATGTAAAGTTCGCCAACTTGGCCAGCGTGGTGGACTATGGCCTGATCTCTCTCGTATTGAATGGAGGCCCGTGCCCAGCAGTGGGACGTTAAAAGGGCGAAATACATACTTACATACATAAGAGCTTAGCTTTGAGTGTACATCCTTATTAGTTACTCGTACATTACAGGAGGTAGAGGAGAGTGCGGGCGCGCCGGATCCCGCGCACGCGCTGTACTGCGCCGAGTGCGACGTGCAGTTCCGCGACGACGCGGCTCTCGCTACGCACTACGGCTCCTCTATCAAGCATGCTGATACTAACTTGTGAGTAGACCTCACTAGATCATATTTAAGTTATATTAGTCCACACTAGTTTATATTAGCCCACATAAGATTATACTAGCCCATACTAGATCACACTAGTCCATATAAGAGCACACTAGCCCATACAAAATCACACTAGCCCATACGAGCCCACATTAGACCACATTTGACTGTAGGCTGGTCTGCCAGCCCAATTTAGACACATTAGTCCTTGTGAGGCTACTTTAGATAACACTAGCACGAGCTAGTCTAGTGTGGGCTAGTTGCGCACTAGAACATACTAGTCCATATTTTACTATATTAGCTTACACTAAACTGCACTACCCTTTCTGTAGGGGTGTTGTAGTTAGGAATGTGACTTGGAGGGGAAAAAATCGATTACTAAATAATCGATTGGCTACACGCCTGGAGGGTCCTGGGTTTTAGTCTCGGGTCGGGTCGGGTCAAGTTTAGTTATTGAGTCTTTCTGTATAGTAAGCCTCAGTAACAGCCCGGAGTTGGGAAGTTGGCGGTGTTTCACCCCCGTGCCTCGGAGAGCACGTAAAGCCGTCGGTCCTGCGCCTCAACTCTCACTGGTCGTGTCTCGCGTCGTCCCACCAGAGTATGAGAGTGACAGGAATAGAGAGTGCACGTTGTGTCTGCGCGTACACGCGCTGCACTATAATATCTCCTGCGCAGTTGGCTAGTCTCAATGAGATTGGCCGCCGTAGCCGGAATCGGTCAAGAGGTCTTCTTACCTTATAGTTAAAAATTAATTTTAATTTCTTAAAAATCATTATTACTGAAAAGAAACACTTAAAATGACATGACTTATTTATGAAACCATATACCATTTTGTGAGAAATAAAAAACTTTTCAATTGTAAGCTAAAAGACCTTAGGGCTTACCATATAATCCATTAAGAAAATAAATTTTGAGTACCTAGCTTAGTTTTAAATTGTATAATAATTTTGTTTGTGATAATATGATATAGCTTACATATATATAAGTATTAGCGAAGCTTAAATTTTAAATTATTATTATCAATAAATAAATTATTATGTTTTATTTATTATCTATCATTTTAAAATGACTCCATTGACATTAAGTAATATGATCAGGCACTGATAGCGAACTAGTGAGGATATAAATATGCGATATTATAATTATTTCAGATCTATTAAAACATTAAGGAAAGATGGCGCGGGCATGCGTCGCGGGAGGCCGCGGCAAACGGGCAGCGGCATCGTCAATACAGGAGTGCAAACTTCCACTACTTGTGAGATTGTAAGTTACTTATGCACTAACCTACGTGACTTACCTATTTTTTTCTCTAAGTCATAGTCTATCTGTCCGTGTTTTATCAAAAAAGTAAACACACACACGCACGCACGTACGCACGCACAAACACACACAATGACAATTTTTACTAGATTGCTCTATCTGCTAACATTATAATCTACTAATTTTAGCAGCTGTTAATACCCGAAGTGCTCGTAGTACAGGTTCTCCTAGTACGAGTTTCCAAGCTCTCCTTCTGGATTATTATAAAGTTTTGACATTAAAATTTATTGTAAGGAGTATATTTTTGTAACCTGAACAATATCTGTTCAAGAGTTTCTTGTAAATTGAAATGTGCAGAATTAAATACTGAATACTATGCGGGCTCGCTATACTCAATCTTTAAAAGAGCAAATGTTGAGTTTCTCTGTTGCTCTTCTCAGCAGAACTGCTTTCTGAACCGAACTGCTCACGAACTGACTTGACGATACAAAAGTGCTGTATAAGTCTAATTGAATAAAGTCCAAATTTAATTGTCATATAAACGATTAAACTCTTAGTGTCACAAGTACCTGTCCAACGACGCTCAAGCACGCCGCCATTACGAGGCGGAGCATCCCGGCGCGCGCTATCTCAAGAGATATATGTGCGATATCTGCGGGCACACCACTAGGGTGAGTGTTCTTAGTATATATTTTGTGTTTAAATAATACTATTGATTTAAAAAAAACCGCTGACCGATTTGACCCTTTGAAACAAAAAAAATATTCCCAAATCGGTTCAGGCGTCTTCGAGTAATCGGTGAACATGCATAAAAAAAAATCCGACGAATTGAGAACCTACTTTTTGGAAGTCGGTTAAATAGAGTTTAAATTATATAATTTTTATTTATTGTATTTTATTTCAAACTTATTCTGAATTATGGCTACGAAAATTTAATTTTTTTGGTAATTTAGAGACTTATTAGGCATAATATAAAAAATAAAATTCTTTATGGAATTTGTTCATTTTTATAAGTATAACTTGTTTTTTGTGACATCAAAGTTAGATTACACAAAATTTTTGAGTTATTATAGAATTCCGATTGAGCATTATTTGGAATCTGACCTAATCATATCGATACATTTAAATATAAACTATAATTAAAAAAAAACTTTTATAATAATAAAAATTTAACATGTTATTCATAAATGAATGAAACAATAATTTGACGACATGTTTGGCTCAATTTGTATTGACCCTACTTGCTGTGCCAGTGGTCGCGGGTTCGAGTCCCCTTGGGAGCATTCATTTGTGTGATAAGCATGAATGCTAGTACTCCACTCATGGCTGTATACATATATATTTATTATATAGTGTGTATTTAGAGTTACACATGTGTAGTGTATCAACTATCTGGTATCCATAACACAAGCCTCGTAGCCATGGAAGTAGATGGTGCTGTGTGTTAATGTTCCAAAATATTTATTTATTTAATATAATAATATCTAACGTACAGTATGTTCATTCCCCAGCAATACGCCAACCTGACGGTGCACATGCGCACGCACACGCTGGAGAAGCCGTACGCGTGCCCGCACTGCGAGCGCCGCTTCAGCATGCCCAGCAACCGCGACCGGCATCTTGTGGTGAACACCTATTAATATCTATCGTTATTTATATATATTACCTGGACGACGGAGCTTTTTTGGCAAAAAGTACAATTTTCTTTAAAAAAAAACTAAAGTAACTTTGTATCCGACCGGCATTTGGACACCTGTGATTGTCAATCTTGCGCCTTGGCCGCTTGACCACGATGCTTATGGCCCGATTGTGTGTGAGAATTTCGAAATCTATTCGGTTTAGCGCAAAAGGTGTCATATACAAAAATAATGTACAATAAATTGTGAACAAGAATTGTTTCGTGCATAATCTTGCTAAAGTGAACGGTTCCAGAGTTACGGAGGATGTAAAAGTAGCAAAGTTTTCGTATTTATTAGAGTTTTTGGAAAAAAATTAGACTTTATTAATGAAACTTATACATATATTAACTTACACATATACTTATTAATAGTATAAATTATGATATAAGGCTATTTCTTCTCCGAATTTCATCTAAATCGGCTGGGCCGTTACAACGTGATGAAGTAACACATACACTCATTCACTCGCTTTTGGTTTTATAATGTTAGTGAGATATGATATGGTGTACTTTATTTAATAGTAGAGTACAGAAAGTATAATAATTATAATCCTATTTTGTCCAAATAATGATACATATGTGTAATGTAATATGTAAAAATCAGTTTTATTCATTGTTAAAAAAATCTCGACAAAACATAATTCAACAGATTGACTGGTTTTTTTTATAATATATTATTGATTTTCATACCCAACAGGTCCACACGGGTGAGAAGCGCTACCAGTGCCAACACTGCCACCGGCGCTTCACACAGAGCAGTGCGGTCAAACTGCACATACAGACTGTACACCTCAAGATCCCCTACGCGCCCTGGGATAAGAAGAACCGCAAGCGTCGTAGAGACCCCGATCCCTCCAACCCCCACATGCAAGTCAATCCCAATCCCAACCAACTAGCACTTCCCACGGGACTCGCACCGACCTCCCATCCCGCACAGAAATTCCTTCTAGACTCGTCCCACGGGAACTATCTCAGCGCTTACATCACATACAATGAGTAGGATACGGTATAGTCTGTGGCATATATCAATTACAAAAGGGCTTCATTTTAAAAGTTTGACAGATACTATAACGTTATTAATATAATAAAATTATTATGGAATGTGAACATATAATTTAACTAGCATTGCCCGCGGCTCCGCCCGCGTTCAGGTGACCAAAACCAAATTCTTAGGTTTTACATATTAGTATACTCTTACGTTGCAGTTTTTGTATTTTTTCTCAAGAATGAGACATTTTCCCGCTGTAAAAGTATATATGTACCTATATGTAGACCCGGATAACCAGCTATAACCATACCAAATTTCATCAAAATCCCTCCAGTGGTTTTTCTGTGATGCGGTAACAGAGACAAACAGACAAAATTTTTAAAAATTATAGATTCGGCCTCTGTATCGATAATAATGTTTATTTCAATAAGATTTTCCAAAAAATATTTAATATACAGATTCGGCTTAGTTATAATTTTATTTTATGTATAGATTTAATTTCCTTTTAAACTTTTGAAACTTTGGCCCAGTAAAATTGACATTAGAACTGTCATCAAGACATACATATATGTATATGATGATATTCTCCCGCCATTTGGTTGTTAAGCCCTTTTCACATTTACCCGTGTAAAGGGTTTTGTGACAGACACATAGATGATAAAATTGTGTACGTGTGAAGAGAGCGTTAGTTGAGCCTGATCACGAAGCTTTATTGTATTGCATAGTCGAAGAGAACATTTTATGAGACTGCCAGTGCAAAAGTGGCCTATCCTTAAGGCATTTACTTAAATTGGGTGATTATTTAATCAAATAATATATTCATTTTTATTAGTATTATGTTATAAGACATCGGTTTTATTTTTAAAATATATGTCGAAATTAACTTGGGCTATTTTTGTGCTGAAATCTGAAGGCAATATCTAGCGCTATCGCCATTTAACTTATTTTAGTAAATTAATTTCATTGTACTGTATGTATTATCATACTTTAATATGTGTAAAATCAAACTCAATACATACTTATTTTAGTTGTTTACATTGATATTTGTATACAATAAAAATATTTTAAACTTTACGTTTTAAGATTTTATTTTTGTATCAACCAACGTTTGAACCTCTTTAATGATAATTTTACAATTAAAGAAATCATTTTTTATGTAGATTTTGAATTCAGTTTTTCTAAAGTAAGGACTTTTTTAGAGTTAATTTATTTGATAAAAAAGATTAAGACAAGGCTGGCTAGCTAATACTTGCTTAGATTTACTCAAATATTTGACGACTTTAAATAAAACTATCTTTTCGGATTTTTTCGTGGATTTACTTTGATTATAAGAAATTATAAAAATGTTTAAAATTAAAATTAACAAATATTGTAAGGTACTTTGGTGCCATTTTCTATTTTTTGAATTCATTTTGTTATTTTGTGGGTAGGCTGTCTGTTACAACTTTTAAGACATCTAAAACCTTAGTCTCTCCCATGACCATAATTGCTGTAAAGAATTCGAAACGTCGTGAACCAAAAATCAAAATAAATTCGCGTAAAATCCGAAAAGATAGTTTTATCTAAAAGGCTGGCTATATTTTTCCAATCGTTTTTAAACCCGCAGTCTGATAAATTTTTCATTACTAAAATATTACAATGATTTTGATCAGGACTGCAGTTAAAATAAAGAAATCAGCTAATGCAATATTAGTGGCTTCTAATTTAAAAATAATCTCCGTAGTAAATGCAATCTCCTAGCACAGTGGCGAAACTAGCCTTTTGGGCCCCAATGCAAAAAAAAATGAAATTGCCCCCCTTTTCCTAGTTTTGAAACGAATGTGATCCACAGACAAAGTATTCCAACTTTTTTCAAACCGCTCTCACGGAAGAACAGGTAGAGTAAATTTAAGTAAAAATACTGAGCTTAGATATCTCAGAGATGATATATTTCCCGCAGTAAAATGTATCCTATATGTTGACCCGGATAACCAGCTATTATCATACCAATTTTCACCAAAATCTGTCCAGTGGTTTACTCGTAATGCGTTTCCACTAGTAAAAAAATAATAATAATTGTACAGATTCAATTTCGATTCAGTTAGAATTTTATAATATGTATAGAAAAAATCTATTAAATATAAAAAATAAGGTTAATTGAGGTAAAAATAAATTTCATTTCAAATAATAAAGTTTATTTTGTATATTTATAACATTAAATTCATTTTAAACGTAACAGGGAACAGCAGATTATTGTCGCTCTATAGCTTAATTGACTTCACAGCACGGCTCGAGCCAGAGTATATATAGTAAGCAGTAAATGCTACAAATTAATATTGCGAATTTATTGCTAAAATAACAAATTGAGCATTTCAAATTAATTTGAAGCATAAACATTAACAACACAATAAATAACAATAAAAAATATTTAAATAATCGTATAAAAAATTAACTTTCAAAACAATACTCAGATCTTTAAATAAATAATAAATCACATGTGGGAATGTTTCGGTGCGAACGTCTGTTCGTTGTAAACAGCTAAAATGCGTCTAAAAATTATATAATAAAAAGGCGACTACAAACTTCCTTCTTAAAAAAACTTTCAGATTGTTCTAATCTTCAATGCATTTGTCCTATATTTTACAGGCCCTTGTTGAAGTACACTTCGCTGATTTTGGGATGATTCTTCTTTACGGTTTCCTATAATATAAATTAATTAATTTATTTTAAAAGATAATTAATTAAATACTTATTATGTACTAATATTTTATATATATAATCTAGTCAACAAGTGCCTTTTTGGTCAACTTTTTTCAGCAGTCTCAGAAAAATATGAACGAGGTGTCATTCGATTTGAAATGGCATTTAAATGATTTTTGAAAAAAATCTAGTTCCGCTTTCAAAATTAGCAAAAGATATAAACGATTTAACTACAGATAAAAAAGTGGTTTAGTTTTCTGCAAATATATTAAAAAACTAATTGAGATTTTTCAAATCTAAAAAAAGATTCAAAAAGAGGAGGAATGTTCCTAAAAAAAGTCTCGACTCCCGGAACTGTAGTACCAATATTTATAATTTTCCCAGAGGGATGAAAATACGGCAGAAACGGGTGCTCTGGACACTTTATTGCTACTTTGGACACTTTATCAATAATTTTTATAACAAAACAATTATTCTTATAACAAAACTAGCCAAGCCAATCACCTTAAGCTCCGGGTCCAGGCTGTCCACGGAGATGGCTGCGCGCTGGTCGAAGAGAGCACAGCACAAGGGCGTGGCGAAGGTGACGCACAGCCCTACGAGGAACAGCTGGAAGGGTATCACCATCAAGGGCCGGCGGCAGAACAGCCCGCGCCGGGTCGCGATGTTAGTTATCATAGGTGTTACCGCTGTTTACAACGAGATAGGATCGGTTATTACACATGTTATTGTGAACTAGCGACTCACTCTCGCTTCGCACCTTTCGTCCCTAGGTACGATTTCAATAGTTATAAATAGTTATCATCCAGCGTTAACCATGTAAATATTATTTTATTTTTCGGTAATTTTTTCGATTTTTTCATACTCATTATCCTATTCCGGACTAAAAGAAATCCAAAAAATCAAATATCATAAAAATTGGTCCAGCCGTTCATAAGGTATAAATCTTGTAATTTGGTAAAGTTTTTAAAATAAACAAACTTTTAATTATCATGTTATGACGTAATTCTTTCTTAGATTTACACGAATATTTGACTTTTTAAATAAAACTATCTTTTCGGATAATAAAACTATATTTCGCGGATTTATTTTGATTTCTGTTTCCCGACGTTTGGAATGCTTTACAGCAATCATGGTCACGGTAGAGACTAAGGTGTTAGATGTCTCAAAGGCATTATATAGTTTATGGGGAACCAAAAATCAAATAAATCCGGGAAAAAATCCGAAAATATAGTTTTATTTAAAATGTTAAGACGTAAGGGACTAACAGTAGACTATGTGTTACTTCACGTCATACTCTAGTTGTGTACTTTACATTCAAATCAGTTCAGCCGTTTCAGCGTGAAGGACTAACAAACAAACATACACACAAACTTTAAAAAATATTTTAGTTATCAGATTTGCCACCCAAAGAGAAATCGAATATAACAAAGAAATTATTTTTTTTGCCAACTTAGAATATCCACCCTAAGTTGTATTACTCTGAGTGGATAAACGGGGATTTTAATTTTAATTGTTATCCCGAAATTTGAATAAATTATTTTACATATAGTGTTAGCATTGTTGCAATTTTTTTTAATTTTCCTAAATATAGAATATACTCAGCTAGGGTAGTATTCATATATGTTTGTATGTAAAGTTAATATTACTTGATTTTTTTTAAATGAAGCAATTGAAATTTCAATTAATTTGTTATTGACGAAATGACCTGGAATCAATTGTATCGTTGTGACACGAGATATGTCTTATTCTAGACTAAAGTATACTTATTGATCGGTTTATTTAAAGCAATGACGATAAATGATACAACTAACGTCACGTTTATTTGAATGAGTATACTTTTAATAAAAAAATGCCAAAATACACGCTTTTGACAACTGAAATGGACTGCATTCGTCAAAACGAATCAAATGAGCTCAAATTCGAAGATAATATTTGTATATTGAATAATTATTTTCTTAAATATATGTACCTACACCGTTTTTTATTAAAGAAAATTACAAATATACTTAATGATATATGCACTTAGTTATATATACATGCCCGCGTGGAATAGTGGCAAGAACGCTATATATCTACATATACGAGTCTTTTTAACTGTAAATCTATTTTAATTATTCTTTTTCAATGAATACCGATAATACCTCAATAAACAAGATAAAAGAAGTTTGAATAAACTCAATAAACAAGATGAAAGAATTTGAAAATCAAATTTAACACAAATTCGGTGTATCAGCACAAACGTCGGTCGATAAACTAAGATTAGTAGGCAGAAACATTAAAATCCAAACTATAAAACAGTACAAACTCACTCATTCCGGGCAAAGCCATGAGTACCCTGGATATGCAGACCAGCCCGATGCCGTACTTGGCCGCGCGCTTCGACTCGCCCAGGCGCGTGCCGTCCGCCGTGAAAACGGGCGTGCCGTTTATTAGCTCCCTGGGGAAAAGGGAATCCCATAAATTATTTATTTTCTACACATAAAAATATATGTATTTTATTAGTAGAAATCGAGGGCAAAAGTGAACTTTTAGGATTAGAAAGATTCATTTAGCGAATCAGAATAAAAAATAATAAGGATGCCGTAATAATATAATTAATACATACGATTATGTGTATTCCAATGATTTAAAGAGTTTTCTTAGATTTACACGAACATTGACATTTTAAATAAAACTATTTTTTCGGATTTTGACGCGGTCTTGGGTAAGTATATTGTGTTAGTTTCCGACATTTCGAATGCTTTATACAGTAAACATTGTCACAGGAGAGACTAAGACGTCAAAAAGCTCTCTCCCGTGACCATGATTGCTGTAAAAACTTCGAAACATTACATTGGGAACATAATTTAAAAATAAAAAGCTAACTAAAAAGACGAGCACGAGTTAGCAAAAAAACACAGTATTATACAGTCATATGTAGAGCTAGTTACATAGAAATATCTTTTAGTCTTACCCGCTTCTCATCATGGGGATATTGATGAAGTTGGCGCCGCACACTGCCGCGAAAGGCACCAAGCGAGCGTAGATTGGGCTCATGTTCTAAAAATTAGAAATAAAAGTAGAAATACATAATATTATTAAAATTAATTGAATGAACGGCTAAATAATAGGTACTCATTAGTTTTTTTATCGCACTAATATTATAAATTCGTTGTTTTTTTGACATTGAATGAATTCATAACCAATTTCTGCCTGGTGAGAGTCACGGAGGTGAAATGCCGCCAGCTTTTCTACTTCGGGCTGCTACTCAGAATTTCTTTACAGAACATTTGGCACGAGTCAGGACTCGAATCGACGACATTCAGTACAGCAGCCAACAACGAGACAAAGGCTAGGCCGCGGAGGACAACAACACATCAGTGACAGTACGTAATTAGGTTATTAGACCTAAATATTTGTGGTCAGAGGTGGAGTTGCTATCGATTATTAAATAAATGAATAAATGTTGGGACATTAGCACACAGCACCATCTTTGTTCCTTGGTAAGCTACGTGGCTTGTGTTATGGGTACCAGATAGTTGATACACTACACAAATATAACTTTAAATACATACATATTATAAATATAAATACCCATGACTAGAGTACAAACATTCGTGCTTATCACACAAATGAATGTCCCCAGCGGGACTCGAACCCGCGACCACTGGCACAGAAAGTAGGGTCACTACAAACTGAGCCAAGCGTCTCGTCGACATATTACTTGTATTTTCAACGTAGGAAGTCGAGGTTCGATATTTGCACAGATGAATGACAAAGATAAAGCGCAACCTTGATGACCGTTAACTATCGCGCATTTTCTTAATACGAAGAACGACAAAAGAGAACGGAGTCGTTAGATAGAGTAATCTTAGTCTACAGTGTAGACTCTACACCATCCCTACAAACAATTATATTAGTAGGTATATTGTATTATTATACAATATATTATAAGACTTTTTGAACAAAGCAGTAGAACCTACGTTAGTTAGATTCATTCTTGTTCATTTCAAAATGAAATTAAAAATTTTAGGACAGTTTTCACACTATAATAACATTTTTATAAAAATCAGGTGCTTAAAATGAAAATAGAATTATTTATGCACATTATAGATAGATTATCACTATATATTTTATCAGTAGATAAGCTTTACGTAAGAAGGCGGTGTCCGTGACGTAGATATATTGTATGAAAATAGAATAGAGTTATGGCGAACTTTATTTGCCGCGTCGTTATGAGTGTGATAAGTAGAGTGCCATGAAACTCTGTTTACACAGTCTTGTTTGTTTGTTCGTCGTTGTCAAGTACAGTCTGATATTAAAATTAAAGGTCGTTTTATTATTTTATATACATATAAATAGACTATTACTATAGTAACAACGTTTCGTCTGCGGCTTTGTTTACGTTTATTCCCACTTACTCATTTTTGACTTACTAATCTATACATATAATAATAGAAGTCGAATGTATGTACATTGAAAAAAAATGCTAAAAACCTTGTCAGGGGGATGTAAGAAGAGAAATAGAAGAAATTCAGATTTTTTCAATTTTTTTGTTTCTCTGTCCGTTTGTTTGTTTGTACGGGCTAATCTCCAAAACCGTTGGACCGATGTAAATGAAATTTTGCATGGTGGTACCTTATATCCCCGGTCAACATTTTAGATACATTTCAGTCCGGAAAATTATCGTAAAAGAGTCATTCCAGATGTCAAGAGTAAATCCCTTGGGATAGTTAAAAAACTATAGTAGCTTAGTACACAAAAAATACTGATTGGATTTTAATGAAACTTTACAATAATATATTTCATACATCAAAATAACAAATAGGCTACTTTTTTTCTCGGAAAAATTTACGGTTCCCGTGGAATACATATGTTTTTATTTGTCTAGAGGCGAACCCGAGCTCAGCGAGGGTGAGCCGCTAGTTATTAATAATTGGACTGAATTTTTATATGTGTATGTTACGCAATAAGTTTACGAATCTATCTTCATAACCTATTGTAAATAAAAAGGTTTTACCACAAAGGTGGTAGCATATTAAGTAATTTCTAAAAAAGTTTACACCTAAGGGAAGACTAAGTAATTATTTTTAAGTGGTTTTGAAGACGATGTACCTATCTACAGTTTTTCATTCGATAAGCAACAATGATCGTCGCTTTAAATGCTCCCATTAAACTATTACGTAATACTTTATCGAAAATTCTGCAACAAAACACGTAACATTTCCAACGTCCTTTTTAACTGAAACTCTTTCTAGTAGGAGAGCGCGGGGCTAGAATGAATGTAGGGGGCAAAAGCATTTAAAAAACAATTTGAACTATAAGTATATTTTATATTTGCTAATTTAAATATTTTACAACATTAAATAATTATAATTATATTCTAAAGTTAAATGCTCTATAAAGGACGCAAAACACTATAATCTATATTAATACCTATATATTCAATATTCATATAGCTTTTGATATCTTTGTAATAATCAGGTAAATAAATCAGTAATGAAATTAAAAAAAAAACAGATTAGTTTAAACAAACAGATAAGTGATAAGATTTTCAGTGCCACACGTAACGACTAACATGTTACAGTATAGTATTATATGATCTGTGGTGTTACGTTAATTAACATTACGAAATATTACAATTTACTTAGTAAGTACTAAAGTAATAGGCACTTTTTTTTAATAAGTTTTACCACCCGTAAAAATATTTATGTATTCAGCCCTTTTTAACGTCCCACAGCTGGGTGTGGGCCTCCCTTAAGTACGAGGGGGATCAGGCCATAGTCCACCACGCTGGCTAAGTGCGGGTTGGCGGACTTTAGTTGGCGTGAAAATACCTATACCTAATCAAAAGTAAATGAAGTCTAATTTATCAATGTCAAGCAAGTGTACCTTATGGCAGATTGATTTATCGAACCTAAAAATGTATAATGATAAGCTAACGAAAAATAAAATCCAGTGACATTTCGCTATTTTAGATTAATTACGGTAATATTCAATTCAATTAAGTAGGTACTTTGAGATTACATTCCATTATAAATATTGTTACCTAGTGAATTTAAAGAGACCGTTTTTTACAATTCCCACGTTGAAAAAAAATAATTGCTTAGAATATCATTTTCGGCGACGACGTTAACGATGTTTTCTGATATCTCTTTAATTGTTTACTGAGTCATTCAGTTTTTAAACTAAAAATCGACAAACACTGAAGAACTGATAAATATTTATATACCTATGTAAGCATATAGGCTTAGAAAAATATTCAAATATTCTATGTAAAAGACTTGGCCAAGACAGTCTACAATCGATATAAGTATGAAATGGAGATCGGCCGACTATGAGTTTTGCCGACTAGCCGACTTGGTTGGAAAAAGGCCGACTAATCGGCCAACTAGTCGGTTATTGCCTCTAGGTTATATTTCTTATACATAGCTGTGGCTGAAACTGTGATTCAAAAATATATAATAAACAGGAGATTACATATCTTTTGTCAGAGTTGTAGAAACTTGCGTTCAAAATTTATTTCTTTGTTAATCTTATGCCCGATTTCACCAACAACCCATAAGCTACCACCTACGTAGGGGATCCCTAGCTTAAAAGTCCCCTAAACTAGCCCCTAAATTAAATTTCGTTTAACGATCATCTTTAAGCCCATTTTTCGATCACCTAAATTTAGGGGGCCTTTTAATATTTAGGTGACCCCTAACTGTAGGTGAAACAGAAACTGTCTCCTAACAGCCCCCTAACAATGCTTAGGGCATCCCTTAAACTTAGGTGACGTTGGTGAAATCGAGCATTACTCATATTATAAGTAGTACTACTAAATCTTCTATTCCTTCCTTCGTTTCTATTCCTAGATTATATTGCCAATTGTAAGGCATATACTAAAATATAAACAATAATCTATACTAATATTGTAAAGAGGTAAAGTTTTTGACTTTGTGACGTTGTAAGGGTAATCTCTGGATCTACTAAACCGATTTAGATGAAATTTGGTGAGAAGATAGTTTGAGACCCTGGGAAGGACATAGGACTTTTTATTCAAGAATCATCCCTTAAGGGGTGAAAATGGGGATAAAAGTTTGTATTAGAAAGCAAGCTAGGGTCGAACCCGAGCGAAGCCAGAGTGAGTCGCTAGTTAATAATAATAAATAATGAAGAAATTTCATTTTAATCACCCTATTTTAAGAATAATAATATAAATAAAGTAAGAGCCCAACTAGTAGTATTAGACAGTTGGCTTTCCCGACTAATCGGCCACTAGTTGGTACATCTCTAGTACGAACATTTAAAATGGCAATATCTAAGCGTTTCATTGCGTGGTTAAAAAACATCTCTGGTATTTCATTTATTGTCTTCTTATAACAGTATCAAATCGCAAGGCACCATTTCTCAAGAAGTAACAGCCAGACTATAACAAGTCAACATTTTATGATCCACATTATATAATGGAATGAATAATTATCAAGAGAAAATAAAATTTGTGAGACCAATGAGAACTGAACTACCAAAACAAGATAAAAAGTACAAAATTAGTATACCTATTACCTACTGGTCAATATAAGTATAATAATATACACTCATTTTATAGATAACTTAAATAGTCGCCCTTCATGAAGTGCTAAATGGGTTATCAATAACAGAATGCAAATGTATATATGTGTAATGTATGACGTGAACGGTAAAAGATATTTTAAGGCTCTAGTTGTTTGAATAAATATGTTATATAAGTATATTTTGTATGTCGCGTTACACGACACACCTCTTTGACGTTTTTGGGGAATAAACATTGAAATAATGATAAAATAATATATCTAAATATTATGTTAATGATACTGTTAGTGGAATTTTGCTTTTCCTCCTCAATCCTCATGACGTTTGAGGTGACGTTTCACAATTATCTTCTACACACATAATAAAATTCTAACTGAAATTCGATTTTTTTTTGGAAAATCTTATTTAAATAGGCATTATTATCGATACAGAGGCCACTGGACAAATTTTGATGAAATTTGGTACGATAACAGCTGGTTATCCGGGTCAAAATATAGGATACTTTTTACTTGCGGGAATACCTACATATATCTCATCTCTGAGAAACCTACACTAAACGTTAAAACGCAACTATTGGTTGATAAATAATTTGTAGATATTTTCCGTTTAATAATTAATTCATTAATTCTATTAGAACACTAGAACATAGTTCGTTTAATCAATAAAATGAATATTTTAAAAAATATATGCTAAATCTATACTAATATAATAAAGAGGTAAAGTTTGTGAATTGTGAGTTTGTGACGTTGTAGAGGGTAAGCTCTGGATCTACGGAACCAAGTTACATGAAATTTGGTAAGAAGATAGTTTGAGACCCTTTTTTTTTTTAACGTTGGGAAATGCATTTACGCACGACGTGTGGGACTCACCGGCGTAATACAGCCAGTACTACCCACTAAAACCCAACAAAACAATCCCCCGTCTTAATGGGGCGTCGCAGGATCGCTTACGCATTCAACTACGACGCCCCGACGGCAGGTCTGCCAAAGCAGACCACCACAACCTTGGGGTTGCTCCAAGGTCCACTCTGCTATCAGAGAAGTACCAGGAGCAACCCGCAAGGTACACCGACCCCCGAAGAGGGCCACCTCCCACCGCCCACCGAAGTGGGCAACCTCCCTGTGCGTTTCTTAGCTTCGTACTACTACTGAGCCCCCCCACCACGACAAGGTGAACGCACGTTGGGGGGGATAGTTTGAGACCCTGGGAAGCATACATAGGATACTTTTTATCCCGGAAATCATGTCTTATGAGGGTGAAAATGGGGATGAAAATATGTATTGGGAAGCAAGCTAGGGACGAACCTGAGCGAAGCGAGAGTGAGTCGCTAGTATTCTATATTTCTCAAGTTTTATTTTATATTTAAAATTTTTTAACATTTTTTTTAAGATCGTAAAGGAACTACATTTCTTTTTATAAATAGATAACTATTCTTTTAAATTATATCAGGTAAATTCACGATACATATAAAATAGGTAACTACTCACTACTAATTGCTTCATTAAATACTTCATTATTGAACTGAATGTTATTTCTGTTAAGTTACGTTTTTCACCAAATTAGAATTATAATATGTATATCCATACTAATATTATAAATGTGAAAGTTGTTTGTTTGTCCTTCTTTCACGTCGAAACAGAGCGACGGACTGGGGTGTTTTTTTGCATGGAGATAGTTCGAGGGCTGGATAGTAACATATACATACTACTTTTAACCACGGAAGATAATCTCATTCCACGCAAAAACACGTTATTTATATATAATACAACCCAAAAAATACTTATAATAAGAATTGCCTACTTGAAACAATACAATTGAATCTTCAATACAATTGAATAAATACGTGTTTTAGCATTCCGCGAAATTAATTCCATAAGGGGGTGAAATAGAGGATGAAAATTTATATGAAATCTACCTTTTTAGATTTTTTCTATAGTTTTAGCGTGAGCGAAACCGCGGGTTCGACTAGTAGTTAATTAAGTTTTAAATAAAAAACGATAGCAAACTCAATGGCAGCTTTGTTCATATTATCGACCATCCGCAAAAATATTATTTAAAAAAGTAGTTATTAGAAAATATTAAATCGTGCCAAAAACTAACTAAGTATAATATAAAAATAATTTCATACTAATCATTGACTTGATTAAATTGTTAACAGCATCTGGTTGTAAAACTGTGATAAAGTAATGGGATTTTTTGAACTCTACCGATAAGTGTCCAGATGTCATGCGTGGTCAGGGGCTACGATGCTATGTGTATACATTTATTTAACCGACGAAAAAAGAGGTTTTTCATTGGACACGCATATTTTTTTATTATGTTTTAATTTTTATTGAATCGTTTCTAATAAATAGCCAGCAAGTAACACTATATTTTTCAACTTTGAGGGATTTATTGTATCTAACGTGATAAAATGTACATGATAGTTTAATATTATTTTTATCAATAATATCTTATCTGTATGTATCCGTGCAGCAATATTATCTACATATATGTAGTTTTTAATACATTTTAATTAAAATTATTTAAAAATGCAATATAATATTATTTAAAGCACAATTTTAAGAGCAAGAAAACTTGTCTAAGCTATCAATCTAAATTTATATGTAATTAGCGACTCACCCTTGCTTAAAAAAAACAAACCTGACTCACGAGACCTGTAAACTTCTCCGAGATAAAAAGTAACATATGTGCTAGACTATAATCTATCTCTGTGCCAAATTTCATCCACATCCGTTCAGCCGTTCTGACGTGAAAGAGTAACAAACATCCATACATCTATTCTCAAAAACTTTGGATTATTTTGCTACACAGGTCTCAGAGGAATAATATAGACTGAGTGTCATAGAACAAAAAATTAAGCATTATTTCAAAATAATGTGTTTACATAACGTAAACAGAATACAATTATTAATAAAATAATCATTATTTTGATAAGTCAAAAAGACGATAGATGGATAAATAATAACAGCCGACACATATTGTTGTAATAAATGTACAAAAGAATATAGGTTTTTTAAATTCACATTTTTTTCTCAAAAATTGTAAACCGATTTTATTTATAACTTTCTTTAACGATACCATAGGTTATATCTAAATGGTGCGAGAGCTCTGTAGCGTCTGGCAATCCAGCCGGGCGTAAAGCCAATAGACATTCTAAGAAGCGCTAGATGTACCATACGGATTGTTCCTGGTACTTCTCTGATAGCAGAGAAGACCATTGGAGCAACCCCATGGCTGTTGTGGTCTGCCTCGGCAGCAACCGTCGGGATGTCATGGTTGAGGTTGGTTGCGTAAGCGAACCTGAGGTTCCGTTGGGTTTTTGTAGGTAGTACTGGCTTTTCTTGTCGGTGAGTTGAGTACGTGTAAATGAATTTTCCAACGTAAAAAATATATCTAAATAGTCCCGTTTAAATTTAAAATAAAAACATTCCTATTAGTGGTATAATTATATTTGTATGTTGATGCTAGATCGATAGATAGATGTTGATGATAAATAGATGTTCAGGCTGGTTTCCGTAACTCGACGACTATGCGCCTATTTTAATATATTTAAAGCTTAAACGCGATGTAGGTACCTCCTTAATTGGAAAAAAAATACATCTACCTAATTGGTAATAAAGGCAACAATTAGTATATACATTTTTTATTATTCTGCCTTATCTTTTATTTTTAAGAGTTATTATTTGTTGAGTTTTTAAACCTAATATTAATATAATATAAATATATATAAATAAAATATGTTATTTCACCTTAACTTTGCTGTTGAGGTAGAGAGCAGTAGAAAGGGCGCCACCACACGCGGCACAGTACGAGGCTATAAGTTGTCTGCGAAAATAGAAAGAATTGTTTTGGTTTAAACTATGAAGGCTTTTGTTTATATTATATTCAGTCCTTTTTAACGTCCCACTGCTAGACACGGGCCTTCCTTCAGTACGAGGGGAATCAGGCCATAGTCCACCACGCTGACCAAGTGCAGGCGGACTGAGCATGTCTTTCGAAAACTTGCTAGGTTCTCTCAGACATACAGGTTTCCTCACGATGTTTTCCTTCACCGTTAAGATAAGTATTAATCATGTCGGAAATGATTCGCACTTGAAAATATCAGAGGTGCGAGATTCGGGATTTGAGCCCGCGTCACTCAGTTTCCCAAGCGAGCTCGTTACCACTGGTCTATTACTGCCTTATATTGCTTATATTCATTGTTTATATTGCCGTTTGGAAAATCCATCTGAATGTAAACAATTAGTTTTCTTACAAAATGAACATTTTCCTTTAATTTGCCATACATTATCACCTTAGAGAGTATTGTTCTTATCTAATATACATATAATAAAATAGTAAAAAAGCGAAATCTGTGAATGAAATATTTAAAAAAAAAGAATAACTGTTACGTATTATGCACAGATTGGTCTATAGAATCCAAAACTTTTTGTCTGTTCGTCTGTATTTTTGTATCATTATTTAAAGTACATACTAAATTTCTTTCTCGGGTCAACATTTAGGATACCTTTTACTACAGGAAAATCTTTCATTCCAACGGGAAAACAAAACACAATTACTAGTTCTATGGAGTCATCATAGAAATTTACATGGTTAAACGCTGGCTAAACCTTGATCTCAATTCGAGTTAATCAATCATCGTTCTTTTTATCTTTAAATAAATACAACAATTTTTTTTATCAAAAGTAACGACATAACACCTTAAAAGTTAGAGGAAATTACAATTCAAATGAACATGATAAATAAATACTATAGGTTTATGTACATTGTGTTTTTTTAAAGATACATGACACGAATTTGAAAATAGAAAATTACCAAAAGATTGCGATATATAATATACTCGTATTATAAAGCTAAAATAAAATCTACTGATCAGATAAAAAAAAACGTTTTATAGCCTATTTCTTGATAAAGGTTATCTTACATTAACACTACGACCTACGAGAGCAGAGAAATTCTGTAAATATAAATGACACGGACGGAGCCGCGAGACAACGCTAGTGATACTATAAATACACAAGTCACAACGCAGTAGGCACACAAAAGTAAAGCGAGATTAATGCCCGATTTCACCAACAACCCATATGCTACCACCTACGTATGGGATCCGTAGCTTAAAAGTCCCCTAAACTAGCCCCTAAATTAAATTTCGTTTTATCATCGTCAGATTGTCTTTCGAATTGTATTTCTAGGTACCTTTATTTAGGTGGCATTTTAACATTTAGGTGACCCCTAACTGCCGGTGAAACAGAAAAAGTCCCCTAACAGCCCCCTAACTATGCTTAGGGGATGCCTTAAACTTAGGTAACATTGGTGAAATCGGCCGTAAGTCATTAGTCTTATGACACCCAAATATTTAAAAGCTACTTCTAATTTAGTAGGTTTTTAATGTAAGTTTTTACTCACGAGGTAGGTAGCGGTGCGTCGCCAGATCTGTTGGTATAGTTGACGACCGCGTTAAAGGTTTGATTGACCCATTGCCAAAACACCGTGGCCGCAGTCGTCTTGTAGAATGTTATCATGCCTGAAAGGTCCTTACTGTAAGCAAGCTTTTGTGCATTTAAGTGAATAAGTCTTTACTTAGTAGAGTACATGGTAAATAGTGAGATGAACTGCCTCATCGATTGAGATAATATGTTTTAGTGGCTAGCACGTCCTGGGTTCGACACCCAGGTTGAGCCATATATATATATGTAGTTATTACTTATTGGGTGTTTTGTTAAGAAATGCTCCGTTATAAGTTCCGTTATAATTTTGAAATTATCTGGTACAAAGAATCGATATAATACTACAACGATTGTTTGGACGTTTTGTGGTTTATTGTTTGTTTTAACTTAACAACCATACGAATTCAATATGGCATGGCTATTTAGAAATCATATACAAATATACTTTATTTACTAGTAATAGGCTGGAAAGAGGAAAATTATCTTAAATAACTTTAATGTTTTAACAAAAAAATGAATGTTTACCATAATATTATAAATATTACCTTCAACCTATCCATACTAATAACTATTATAAATGCGAAAGTAGCTCTGTCTGTCTGTCTGTTACCTTTTCACGTTTAATCCGCTGAACCGATTTAGACGAAATTTAGTATGGAGATAGTTTCCGGAAATCATCCCTTAAGAGGGTGAAAAGGGGGGCGAAACTTTGTATGGGGAATCAATCATTTTTCAAGTAAGGGATATAAAAGCGACGGTGAGCCGTTAGTTTAATTATACGCACTTACATCCAGTGATGATAGTGTTCATGGGGGCCTGAGCGGACATGCGGCCGAGCACGAACATTTTCTCCCCCGTATCTGGATGGAACGCGCTATCGTACAAGTACTTGGTTGCCCATAGCTTGTCTTCATCGTAGCCTGGCGGCATTTTACGAGACTTCCTAGTTCATAAAATTAAAATAACCATTTTTCATGTAATTTTTAATCATTTTTCTATATTATTTACTTACATTTTACTTATATTTTCAGCTAAGTTTTTCTACATGTATTTGCAGTACGCAGATTCGATTCCCGCTTAGATATTTGTATAGAGCATGATCAAGTTTTAATAAATAAATGTACTTGTTATAAAATAAATAGGTATTACTGTAATTTAAAACAATATTTTCTAAATATCTTTTAAAGATTTTGAACCTTTACGTACTTAGTATTTTAATTAGACGTTGAACTTATTTTGCTGAAAATACTTTTTACCTGAATTCAGTGACAATTTTCCGAGCTTCTTCCAGGTCGGAGTTGCTGGCAAAAGCGTTGATCGGGTTTGTCAGCAAGAGGAAGTGCTTCGCGCGTCCCATGTACGTGCCCTGATCGTACCGGGGCTTGTCCAGATTTATGTGACTCATTTTGTGGCCGGTGCTGGGTATAGAATTATTTCGAACTCACTATATTTGTATATACATACTTTAAATAAAAAAGATTTTAAAATACAGGTCGATGATTTTCGTAAATGCTTAATCCGATTAAGTGAACAAGTAATTTCAATAACTGTTATTTAGTATTCCTATTTATGAGTATATTTTCGTATTGTATTTCCATACGTCATATTTGCTACAGACATTTATAGGTACATATATGTAAATGTACATAATACACGTGTAAATATATTACTAGTTAGTTTCTCCATGACACGTAAAGTTGATATAATATTTGCTAATGATACGCTGAGAATAATGCAGATAAAAACCCGGAAATTCAATATTACTTATCTACTGAAACGAATTTTATAATATATCTAATAAATATAATTTATTGATTTCCAAACATCTTAGTTTATTAATATTATATTTTTCTTTACCAAATTCCGATAAACCTATATGGTTATCATCTAGACTAGGCTCGGAAAACTGAAATCAATGCCTATTTGACATTTTTTTAATGATTATTATCGGTAGGTGAACCTGCAACTAATAACAAAAGGTTATGTTTGGGTAACTTACGAATATGTAGTTCGTTTTTATCGATTCTTTAAGTAGCGACTATGGAATAATACCTATAGGCTCGTTTTTATACGTTTTGTAAGTGTTTTGGAAGTGTAACTGACGACTTTACTACTCCATCTTTATCGCTTAACTGCTTCATACAAAATATTTAGTGAAAGTAGGAGTTAGGAAAATTAAATCTTTAAGTAGTTACTAATCTACGTATAAATAATTCCTTTGTTCTAATTAATGTATCTGAACTGAGATAACTTAATAATGTAAACAAACTAACAAATGTCATGGACATGGTCTTATCTTACAAAATTCTTCTGCAATGAAAACGATAAAACTGCTTTATCTAAGCAATAGAGACTATATTAAATCATCACAAAAATCATACACGCTCAATAATATTTTTTTTAACTTTATGTTCCGATCTCTATTGCGACGTTAAAAAGTTTACATTTTTTTTTTAAATCTTTTTGCATTCGCCCGGTCCTGAAAGAAGGTTATATAATTATTGACGAAAGGTATACTCGGTATACCCGTCTATGTATCAGGTTAATTTCGCTTTTTATTTTATTCAATGATATTTTTTTAAACCTGAATCAAGGCACGTAGATTCGTGGAATTATTTAATAAATAATTTCAATTATGTATTCTAATTAAGTGTTTAAAAGTTTAATTTAATCGATGTAACCAAAAATATATATCAACCGTACATTTATATCATTTATATTTTAATAAATTATGATTTATTCCGAATGCTCAAATACGCCCTTGAGTGTACAATTCATTCAATATTAAATATCGCGAAATATGTTAATATTTTCGCATAAAAACTGCTAATTGTGCTATACTAATTTAATATATTATTTTTAAGTATTTCAGCAACTGGTACTAGAGTACAAATGTGTAGTAAAAAAAGGAAAACGAATAATATCGAAAGTGTGCACTCTATAATAAATATCTTTGTTTTATATAATGATTAGTTATTTTTTTGAATTACAAATATTTAATGTTAATTAGAAATATAACACTTAATCCTTACTAGAGTCCTTATTATTTCCGAATCACACTATATTCATTTATAATTATCAAATAAGGAATAAATTTATGGAGCACATCAATATTACAAATGTATAAATAAAACTCCGTATAGATCTTATTGTTCTCATATATATGCAAATAAATCACAAATAAAAGTAATCTCTTATTGATTGGAGTAAATTATTATATAAATCAAAATTATTTAAATAAAAGCTTATAATTAAACTAAAAATAATAACTCACCGCAATATTATTGGAAATAATTTGAAATTAAAATTTATATATTTACTATAAATGTAGTCACTATTGCTTAATCCTTATACGCATGTTTTTTGGATTTTATCTTCACTTCATAAATTTATCGGAATTATAAGTTCAAATGTTGCGCCGTCAAAAGACCTCGAAATATGACGTAAAAATCAATTCGTCCGCTGCCTAGCCACCTAAAAGTTGCCACTACTTAATGTGTGTATAAAAGTAAATAATAAAAAAATCCTTTAACTTAGTCTTGTATATTAGAATAATAGATGTTTTTATTTTAGCATTTTTTATCATTCAAGTACTCTCAATAAATTTAAATATCTTGTAAAATATTATAAAATCAAAAGTTATTAGAAGTGCATAGTATTCGAAATAAATCATTTATCCATTTCATTTCACGCAGATGCAGTAAATGCTATTAAGTCCCGTCTCGCTTAAAATAATAAGTGGCCATATAATTTGTTCCTATTTTAATAGCACATATATTTTTATTAAATACTTACATAAATTACAATAATTTTCTTTAAATATTAATAACATATTTGATATTTTTGATTATGTAGGTTTTGTATGAATAAGATCCTAAGTAACTAGCGTAAATTGAAAGGAGTGTGCAAAATTACGTCTTGTCAAGCAAGACGATCCAAAAATATCATTACTAATTAATAACCTTTTTTAAAGGTTTTATATATTTTTAAGATGTCTTTTATGACCAGGAACGTTTTTCGTAGTTTGGTTCAGGTATGATAAACATTTGCTTACTTTATTTTGTTTAAAAATAAAATTTATTTTTTCGAAGACTGTTTCGTAACTCCTTGTACTTTATATATTGAGCTTTTAGATATACTTTGTAGGATACAATAACTGTTTTTTATAAAATTATTGCATTTCATCGTGCATTTCAAAGTCATGTTGCTTTTGTCCTCAAGGTATCAAATATCCTCACGTGATGCCACATATATAATTGATAGACTGAAGGAATTTTATATTATTGCGACGTATGATATTTCAGGGCTCTCAACATGTTGGCAAAGGTTTGCACACGAGCACGGTAAACGCTGATAAAAATGTACGTTTTGCGCCCCTTAACATCAGCAACTTGGTGAGAATACTAACTGTTTTACTAATATTTACACCCTACTTAATAAAACAAAGTTTATTAGCTGTTATATTTCATATTTTTGTTTGTAAAATGTTCTTTTCAGAAAATATCAGCATCAGAAATTTTTATTAATATTTTCTACAATTAAACTTCCTTTGGGATATTATTCTTTAAACACAAAAATGTAGAAAAATATTGGTATTATAAGTACTTATTTTGCTTTATTAGTCGACTCCTAAATATTTTTTTACAATATATTTTTTTGCAAATGTAAAACTAAAAGATATACAATAATTTTGCTATATTATTAGATTCCTAAATAATTTATTTATGATATTGATTATTTTAGAACAAAATTGATATTATAACTATAATTGGTATTGAAAATTTAAAATGCAAGAAAACAAAAAATTTAATAAGTGTTTAATTATTTTTAAGTTTATTTACCAGGATCAAATTTTTCTTCCCAAGATGAAGCCGTAAGATTATTTATAGATTGCATGAATTTATTTTGATGTAATAAAGTGCCATTCTATTCAAAGGCAGATAATTTCTTACAAAAAATATTAAATCTACCTACTTTACTAAACATTGTAATAAAAACATTAATTAGTTTGATGCACACATTTGTAAAATATACACTATACAGATCATTGATATAATATTTTTTAAGAATGGAATGGTTATATGTACTTGGCATGTCTGTTTAATGACTAGATTAGATACAATTAAATGTTGAATAATAAAGCAGATCCAGGAATATATAAAACTGTCTAAAATATGATAAATATTTTTTATAATTGGCAAATTTACTTAGAAAACAAAATGAACACACACTATGTTTGTTGTTTTTTTCAATAAAATTGAAAAAGAAACCAATTATCCTGTCTAAAACAGGTTTGCTGGATCTGTTATTTCATAGCATGTGAAAATTGCACTCCCATGCAATTCAAGCCTTTGTGTTGTCCAAATACATTGTAACAAGTAACACTATGTGTTGTCCACAAATATCCATATTACATACATTTCATAGGCATATTATGATGTAAATTTGGAGTGTTTACATTATAAGTTTAAAACATATTATGAATTTTATGAAAATGACTTATTGGATAGTAAATACTTGTAAAACTTGTGATATTTATTATTAGAAAAATCCACCTTAAAGTTAAATAAAAAATAACATTTGATCTTATTTTACAACCAGAGACTCACACTCATACAGAGATGAATGAACCAGCTATCAACATACCAAATTTCATTAAAATCTGTATAGTGGTTTTCTCATGATATGTTCCCAGACACACAAAAATTCTAAAAACTAAAGATTCGACCTCTGTATTGATAATAATGACTATTTCAATAAGATTTGTCAAAAAATATTTAATGTACAGATTCGGCTTACTTACAATTTTATTTTATGTATAGATAAATGAACATACCTAGATTCAAATGTGTGTTATTATTACTTTCTAAATGTGCCATTTGCCACATTTTTTTACTTTAGGCTATTTTACTTGTAGAATTGTGGCAAAATAACTATTAAACCATTGGAAAAATTCACGAAAAAAAAAATTTGAAGAAAAAATCTATTCCATACTAAGCATTCAAACTTACTTAGGGATGAACCTGAGCGAAGCGAGGGTGAGTCGCTAGTGTTAAATTAAGAGGGCTCAATTAAAGTTAATTTAAAAATCAATAAAAAAATACATCACTATTATTTTGTTTAAATATACACAAAGGTAGGTTATACAAAGTTATATAAAAAGGATTTTTGTTGCCACAATATTTTATTACCTAGACCTATTTAAAGTTAAAACTGATATTTTTAGGGTACCTATGTATTCAAATTGTTTAGGCTAAAATAAAATAAAGTTTTATGATACAGCAAACAACAAAGGAGGGTCGTATTAAATGCACCCTGATTCCTGGAGATGGTGTCGGCCCCGAATTGGTTTACTCCGTTCAAGAAGTATTCAAGGTATGTTCTTTATATACTATTATTTTAATATCCTTTTTTTTATTATGCCTATTTAATATTTTGGTACACTCTGTAGCCTAAATGTTTTAATGATTTTTTCTATTTGAGGTATTGTTAGATTTATCTTAAGTTTGATTTTCAATCTTGCGCCTTGACCACGATGCTTATGCCCGAGCGTGCGAAATTAGTGACTATGTTTTGAGTGGAATAATACGAAATAAAACCGCATGAAAACTCGAAAACACGCGTTTTCTCAGACATAAGAATAATCTAGATCGATTTTTCACCCCCGAAAACCCCACACGCCGAACAGCAAAATCGTTAGAGCCGTTTTCGAGATCGCATGTATAAATATACAAGAATTGCTCTTTTAAAGGTATTAAACTATGCTAGTGACATAGGGTATATAATGCAAAATATTGTCAGCAGATCATAATACAGGGTTTTTTTATAATACTTTTATACCATTATTTTTATACAAAAAAATCGGTCTGTTGTAAAATATCTTTTTTGGTAATATGTATTACTAATTTACACAATGTTATACCATAATAATTTATATTTTATGCAAAATATTTATTCAGGCGGCAGGCATCCCAGTGGACTTTGAGTCTTTCTTCTTCTCTGAAGTGAACCCAACTTTGAGTGCGCCCTTAGAAGATGTAGTCGGCTCCATTGCCAGGAACAAGATATGTATCAAGGTTAGTCAATTATAATGTTTGATAACATTGCTATGTCAAGTTTGAATTTAATTATACAAGTAGTTAAAATAAAATTTACTTATATGTATATAAACATGAAAGATAACCTTTTGTTGACTTATAATAAAGTGGGATAGAATCACGTGACTGATCTTCAAAATTTAATTGAAATTCATGCCTTTACATAGTAGTATAGTTAAATTTTCATTCAGTTCATAACATACACTTTAGTTGTACAATGTTAAATTTTCACATGTCTGTTGCTTCTACAGCTCAAATTCAATTTTGGTTTTAAATTGCTGCCCAACCATACCCCATGAGTACCCCCAGGGTGTTCTTTTGATTTGAAAACGTTTAATTTTACTATGTTTGTAAACTTTTAAAGAGACTGTGGCCTTGACATTTTAATTAAATGAACAAATTGATGCAGATGCCAAACGAACTGCAGGTGTTCTGTTAACTTTGAGGAATGTTTTTTTTTAACTAGTGTTGAAGAAATCTGAAAAAATGTGTAGAGTAATATGGAGATTACTTTAGCAAATAAGAATATTTTTGTGACTGGGACCCAAACTTTATCAATCCTACCTTGTAAAAAATTAACTTCTCTATTAATAAGAATAAAACTTCAAAAAATATATAAAAACGGATAGAACCTTTTCATGAAAACAACCTTAAATTAATTTAAATAATGCCAACATATGATCCCATTAAAATGATCCTTTTAAGATTTTTTTTTCATATTCTTAATTCCAGAATATATTATGTGGTCAAGTACCAAGCTTTTTTTTTCGTATTCCAGGGTATCCTAGCCACTCCCGACTTCTCCCACACCGGCGAACTTCAAACCCTGAACATGAAGTTGCGCAACGCTCTAGACTTGTACGCTAACGTGGTGCACGTGAAGTCCCTGCCCAATGTGAAGTGCCGGCACAACGACGTCGACTGCATCATCATAAGAGAGCAGACTGAGGGAGAGTATTCAGCTTTGGAACATGAATCTGTGCCTGGTATGTAGTGGTATTTGGTTGGTACCCAAAAAATTGGGTTTTTTAAATGTATTCATAGTCTTTGTTTTTTTTGCAGTTGATAAGCTTCAAACTTAAGTCTGACATTTTGAATATTTTTTTGTTTAACAGATAAGCAATAATAATAATCCAGTTTAATCCAGATATAAACAATCGTCATTTCGAATATCGCTCAATTTGTAGATTAATTATAGTGATAGCATATTTTAGTACTTAACTTAAATATGATCTTGATTTTATATATGACCGTGCAAGATGATTGGTGAGGCATTAAAGGTACCTTTGCCTCTAATATAAGAATAAAAAATTGGTACTATAATCGATTTTTCTTGAATTTGCATGGCAGTCTTTTTAAAATTCTCCATCTTGGTCTTTTATTATTTGTTCTTATCACAGCAATAGAAATACATAATGAAAATTTCAACTCTACCTATTACAATTCATGAGATAGAGCCCTTTGACAGACGCACGGACGGACGGACAGCGGAGGTTTAATAATAGGGTTCCATTGGCACCCTTCGTAGGGTACAAACGCACTCGCACCCTACAAATGAATCTTGGTTACAATTTTAACTGAGACTTACCAAAATGTGATTGAAATCTGCCCTACTGCAATTTAATATTCTTCAAGGCCTTAGAAAACTACATCATATACTATTATATCCCAAACAATAAAATTGACGCCCCAACAATGTTAATACATGTATAAATTATTGTAAAAATAACTAGGGACTTACACTCGCTTCCCTCGGGTTCGTCCCTAGATACATTTAATTTTTTTTTGAGCGGAAACCTAATTCTTTTACTGAAATAAATGTAACCTAAGTACTCAATTGTACTACTCCTAGTGTACTCTTTATAACATCAACTACCTGCCAGTGAAAGTCCCGTCAAAATCAGCCTAACCGTTTCGGAGATTAGCCGGAACAAAAAGACAGACAGACAAACATTATAAAAAGTGTTTATTTTTATAAATACTGTATATAATTACATATGCATTAAGTAAAAAGCTGTTATTTTGACATTACAAACAGACACTTAAATTTTATTTATCGTATATAAAAAGCGAAATAATTAATTCAAATTCCAGGCGTAGTGGAATGCTTGAAGATCATCACGGCGGCCAAGTCCGAGCGTATAGCCAAGTTCGCGTTTGACTACGCGGTGAAGATGCGCCGGCAGAAGGTGACGGCCGTACACAAGGCCAATATTATGAAGCTGGGCGACGGCCTGTTCCTGCGCAGCTGTGAGGAGGTCAATTCTTCTTTCTAGATACTTCTTTAATAATAAATATGGAATTAACGAAGGATCCTTTTTATAGTTAAAGGTTACTTTAAACTTTTAAAGTTTGTTACAAATTATTAATGATCTGATGATTTTTTTGAAATATCGGCCCAACCTCCCTTGAATGAAAATCCGTTAAAAACACACAAAAAATAGTTGAATTCGCTCTAGCTTTTAAGGTTCACATTACTCAGTTTCATTTAGTTACTTTTAGATTTGTAACATTGAATAAAGTATCATCAAAAAACCAAGTAATCGTTTATTTATTTATACTACTATACTATAACAGTGCATTATATGTACATACGTTTTGATATATTGACAGATGGCGAAACTCTACCCACGTATCCAGTTCGAGAAGATGATAGTGGACAACTGCACGATGCAGATGGTGTCCAATCCCAAACAGTTCGACGTGATGGTGACGCCCAATCTGTACGGGAATATCGTGGACAACCTCGCGTCTGGGCTGGTGGGCGGCGCGGGCGTCGTCGCAGGCGCCTCCTATAGTGCCGACTGCGCTGTGTTTGAACAGGTATGTGAATCACATACCTGTTTCGAATCACATAATGTGATATATACTATACACACACATACACACATATACAGACACACGCTCACACACATGCATACAAGTGCACACGCATTCGCGCACACATGCGTACACGTACGTCTACATATGCGCACACGTAACCACTATCACAAATGACACATTCAACTAAAGTTACGTTATACTGCTCAATTCTATAATGTACTTCTATTGCAGTCTAGTAAACTATTATATATTATAGATTTATTATCAATCGAGATATATTATCGATTTATATTGTTTTTTGGTTCACGACGTTTTAATTGCAGAAAATATGATCAAGGAAAAAAGGGTTTCGATGGCTCAAAAGTTATATATTATACTAGCGACTCACAAGGGGGTTCCTGGATATAAAGTATCCTATTTCCTTCTCAAACTATCTTATCAAATTTCACCTAAATCGGTTCAGTAGATCCAGAGATTATCCCCTATAACGTCGCAAACTCACAATCTTACAAACTCACAAACTACCTCTTTATAATATTAGTATAGATAGTTATACAGATGGTGTCTACCCACAATATTATACTTAAATTAATTATTATACTTAAAAAAAACGTGTGTTTATACTTATGTACGTACTTAAGAAGTTATATTTCTTTCGCGTAACAGAACAAATATAGCTAAAGATTTCATCATGTCGCTTTTGGGCTGTCGTTGTGCACGCGCATCGTATAAATTTTACCCTCATATTTGTTTCCAAACGTGCCAAAAGAAGTATAACTTTAAAAAATATTTATATAAAACGTACAAAACGTCGGGTACCAAAATTCAAAATAAAAGCGGATAAATAGACAAAAATAGTTTTATAACAATTATTTTTATGCAGGGTGCCCGCCACATCTTCTCTGGTGCTGTTGGCAAGAATATAGCCAACCCAACCGCCATGTTACTGTGCTCAGCCAACCTGCTCGCGCACGTCAACCTGCACTCCTACTCGAAGATGGTCAAGAACGCTATCAATAAGTTAGTTATTCTTTGTATTCAGCCCTTTTTAGGGTTCCATATCTTAAAAGGTAAAAAAAGCAACCCTTATAAGATCACTTTCTTGTCCGTGTGTCACCACCGATTTTTTCAAGAACGGTGGACCCAGCAAGTTGAAGTTTATACCAGATACTGAGGCCTATAGTCCCTATTAGGTGTATAAAAATCAAGGTCTTGAGTCGACATCATAAAAAGACATTGGCAAATTTAGATTTTCGCGAAAACTTGTTAGCATCAGTATTTAACTTAATTTTATTTTTTTTTTATTTTTCGGAATTTTCCCTTTACTTGTGCTGTAACACCTTTTAACCACAATTGACAATTATAGGTCAACCGAAAGTACCCTATAGGTGTTGGGTCGAAAACCTATATGGTAGTTCCCGTTGACCTAGAATCACGAAATTTGGCAACAAGCAAGGTCTTACAGGAAAAATAAAGGAAAAAATTCAAAAAATAAAATTAAAGTTAAACAGATTTCCCACAAATCTGTACGGAACACTCGGTGGGCGAGTCCGACTCGCACTTGTCCGGAATTTTTTAACCTCCCAGTGTTGGGCATATGGCTTCAATACGAGGGTCAGGCTACAGTCCACCATGCTGGCCAAGTGCGGGCGGACTGCAAATGTCTTTCGAAAACTTGCGAGGTTCTCTCAGACATGCAGGTATCCTCACGATGTTTTCATTCTCCGTAAGACAAGTGACAACAACTGAACGGATCAGGATGAAATTTGACACAAAGATAGATTATAGTCTGGAATAACACATAGGCTACTTTTTATCCTGGAAAAATGTACGATTCCCGTGTGATAGGTTTGTTTTTGTTCTCCTAGAGACCCGAGCTAAGTGAGGGTGAGCCGCTAGTATTTAATCATTTATATTTATTATACTTCTGGTAGGAGGGAGGCATATACCACTACAGCCTGACGGGCCTAATATGGCACACTGTTATGAAAGGATTTACCCCTAAAATTATAGAAATATCAACCCCTAAAAGAATTGTAAATTTAAACGCTAAAAGAATGAAGCACAAATGTTTGTATGGAAAATATTATTTTGCTGGGTGTGATAATATTAGAAGAGGTAGCCGGATGATGATATGAGTGGAAGTGTGTCTTTTTATTTGTCTTGCTTTTCATCTTTCATTTTGTCGCGACTCGGCTTTTCAATAATAACCAATTTTTATTTTTAACTGTATTCATTAAAAAGGTAGTTCAAGTTTTAGATGTTATATAAACCAAATTAGTGTTCGAGATCTTTTATCAACAATACCTATTTAGAAAATATAATTATTTAATTTCTATTTCAGAGTATTGTCCGACGGAAAAGTAAGAACCAAAGATCTTGGAGGCCAATCGACTACAAAGGACTTCACCAACGCTGTCATCCATTGCCTCGTCTATTAATTATATATTTTTGTATCAAAAAATAGGTGGCGAACCTTGTATAAGTCAATAATTATGAAATATACATTAATGACGTACATTCAAATCGAATTATATAATAATCGAGTATTAAAAACATCAATTGAATGTTACTCGTGTAGTTGTATGATTTTGGATTACTGAGATTCTAATATTAGTATTTTTTTTAAATAAGAAACCTTATTTCAAGTCATTTGTTTTGAATGATATTTACTAAACAGTATTTTTTTAGAATATTTATTTTTATATACTTTATTTTCTTAAAAATATAAACAAATATTGCAAAAATATCAAATGGTTCGCCACCTCAAGCATAGAAAATTTACTCGTAGAGTAATAAGAGTAACTTATTTATTATTTAATCATTTTCTGAATGTGATCTGTACCATAGACAACATACGTCAGTATTGTGTAAGTATAATGTTATCAGTTAAAATTAAATCCTTATTGTTTGTTTCATATGTTGTTTTAATTCTGATTTTTTTTATCTATTTTGATTCTTACTTTACAATAAACGATTTAAATTTCGCATTATAATTAGGTTCATAATATAATTTTATTAAGTTTTTTTTTCATTGAAACATACTAATTGCGTCTTATTAATTTCTAACTGACCCTAAAGACGTGATTCTGTCTACAATAATTTGTTTCTGATCTTTGAGATCGTGCAAGAAAACTATTAAAATATTTAATAATAGAATTAATAAACCCGACTGTGAAAAAAGTGGACTAAAAAGATGGCAATAAGTTAACGAAGAGACATTGTATAATGCATTGGAGCCCTCTACACACAATCTACAAAACATGTACATATGAATGTCTCCGACTGTATAATACTATGTTCCTTCATCAACATGTTTTATTCTATGCTATATATATATATATATAGCATAGAATAACATTCTTATAAAGACATTGATATACTCGTATATATTGATTGATTGATATATATTATAAATAAATTAAACACAATTTGTTATTGCATTCTATTTATTATTGTGTTAGCTAACCCATCCTTGTTATTTTGTGACAGGATTGTATATATTTTGTTAGTTGGATGGATGTCTAGAAGGCCTGCGGTATAACTCTGTGAGCAGCTAGCTTTTTAATTCTGTCCGATATAACATACTTTAGAGCGTTGGATGGCACCTGTACAAAGAAATATAATGATTGTATAAAAAGTTATTTTATATTATATTATGTTAAATATTTGATTTAACGCGTTAAATCTATAAATATAATTTGAACAAAAAATATTTTCAAACATAATTACTTTTTTATATATCTATTTTTTTATTTTAAAAATAGAAGAGTTTGTATATAATATTTATAATGTATGTATGTGTTCGATTCTTTTTCGTGTAATATCGGCTCAACAAATTTTCGTGAATTTTACAACGTATATTGATTATATTATGAAATTATACGTTTATCGTCGTGTGTAGAATTAGAATTTTTGTCATAATAAAATAATATATTGAAAAAGTGCTGTTACCTTAACGGGATCTCTGTACCACGCTTCTTTCGATAGTCTTCTATACACTTTAAACTCGGGCATTTGGCATATTTGGTTGATTCTTGGTAACAAATGTTCCAAGGCTTTGCCTTGTCCTCTCTGAAATTAATCAATGAATCGATTCAAAGAACTAAAATTAAATGCTACAACTAGTGTATACTACATTACTCTAAGAAATAAGTTTAAAAGTTTTTAAATGCTGATTTTATATGTAACTAGTGACTCACCCTTGCTTCCCCATACAAATTGATTGATTCCCCATACAAACTTTCATCCTCATTTTCACCCCCTTAAGGGATGATTTCCGGGATAAAAAGTATCCTATGTCCTTCCCAGGGTCTCAAACTATCTTCTTACCAAATTAGATCTAAATCGATTCAGTAAATCCAGAGATTACCCCCTACAACGTCACAAACTCACAAACTTTACCCCTTTATATTATTAGTATAGGAAAACGATATCTATAACTTCATACTCTAAGAGGAGGCGATCTGAAATCCTTCTTTGGTCCAGCTATCTGACTGATATAGTCCATATGTTTCTTCCACTCGCTCTCTGTCCAGCCTCGTTTTTTCTTCACTTCCTTTGTATCTTGTTTTTTCAGATCGAGCACACAATTGGCTAGTTTTGAATAACAGGTGGCGTTAGCGGCTTCGATCATTCGATCGATACGTTCTATTCGGTCAGTGCTGAATCGATTCTTATACATCCGTTTTATTATTAGGAGCCGACTAAAATTAGAAATAAATATGCTAAATCAGTCGTCTGTTGATGGCTAGTTCGATGGGTTATACTGTACTTATTATGTTTAATAAATTAAATTTTGCATAAAATGGATAAAGCTTTGATAAATTCATTTTTTTAATTTTTGATAAATACAAAAAATAGTTTTTTTTATTAATTATTCATTTTTTTCATTCATTAAAAAAAACATTTTCGATAACGCGAAGTTTTTTTTTATTTATCCTTCGAATTTTGCCGCCCTGGGCACTGGCCCCGAGTGTAAATCCAGCGCTGCGTATAATATTAATCGTAATCAGACGAATAGTGGAATATGTAACACGATATGTGCAAAAGTGTTAAGAAAACGAAGATTAAATGTATCTACCTAACATTTAATCTTTGTTTTCTTTAATATTTAAGTTTAAAGTATTTATCGATTTATAGTTATGCCGTTCTAAGTACGCTATTAGGTCTTTCATATACACTAATAGCAGAACGAAGTAGAAAGAAGCAGAAAAAAGTAAGTTTCATAAAAACTTTCATCCCCTATTTTACCACCTTAAGGGATGAATTTCGAAAAATACTAAAATACGTATTTATTTAATTGTATTGAAGAGCATTAATACCAAGTTTAAGTAATTCAAATCATAAATATTTTTTTGAGTTGTGTGTTAACGTCCTTTCGTGTGGAAATGAGATGATATCTCGCGGTAGCCAATGTCACTCTCCAGCTGTCCAACTCTCTCAACACAAAAAATCACGCTAATCCGTCACTTCGTTTCGACGTGAAAAAAGGACAAACAAACACACGTTCCCATTTGTAATATTAGTATGGATACCTACAGTTATACTTACCGTAAATAAGGCCACGCAACATCGTTCACTCTATCAGATAAATGGCTTTTCAACGCCGACTTGCGTATCCCTCTTGCTGTCAATGCCGGCATACCTTCACCAGTATCTACGATGCATTTTCTAGGAACACTTAGCATATTTAATCTTTTTGGTATCTTGTATGGAAACGTGTTGGTTGGTGGGTCATATTTTGGCTTGCCCATGGTGCTTTATTTTGTACTTTGTTATTGTATTGCTAGCTAATCAAAGAGTTATACATTGAGACGAGAATTATAGATTGAGAGATTGAGGAATGGACCGGGTTTACATTTTGCTATTAAAATTTATTGATTTATGTTGAATCCCATTGTTTGTCGTTTTGACAAATTGAATGTGACGTAAGATTTATTTTTAATAATGACCTAAATATGAAGTGGCATGCATTGTATCTGCATAATTAAAATTACAGCTTCGGTATGTACCCAATTATACATATAATAAAATTCGCAGTCAAAACTGTACATTAAATATATTTTTTTGGAAATTCTTATTGAAATAGTCGTTATTATCGATACAGAGGCCGAGTCTAGTTTTTAGAATTTTTGTCTCTCTGTCTGTATGTGTATCAAAAGTAAATCCGTGTAGTCAGTAATCAGGAAAATGTTCGTTTTTTTATTATTACGAAATTATTACTTAAAAAGTACCTACACAAATAAATAATACTTTTAATTATAATAGGTAAATGGGATAATAAAGCACATAAATTATCTTCAACATATTCTATTTTTTTTTTCATAAATACAAAGACATTCCATAACAAAATACTGATCTGAACAATCTTTTCAATAAATAACAACCTTTTCACATCTGTTTCACCTATAAAACCAGTCATGTGAAATATTCCGACTCTACACCGAGATGAATGTAAAATAAAAGAAAAATGCGATAATATAAAATAATAAAAATAAATATGTATATATAAAAGCAATTATTACTGTTTAGCACTGGACAAAATTATTTTTACACCATAATTGTGTGACACTATTTAGAAGTAATTAAAAAAAATAAGTAAAGATATTTGTTTATTTTTTCAATTTGTTATTGAATATGAGAAAATTTGAAAGAAAAACTAACATTTTATGTTAGTGCAAAAAAAAAGAATGAAGGTCAAGACTACTTAATAAGGTCATAATAAATGCTTTATTAATCTTTGTATATTCCTTTGATACCTCTAAATAGTGTCCATTCATACATTTAAATACAAGAAATCAGCGCAGATTTTAGATAATTACTTTCTGATTATTTCTAAAAAACTTTTATTACTAAAAAAATATTAAAAAAAAATACACAAAAATTGTATATAGAAAAAATCTGCACCATGCACCATGTAGGTGTAAGCATAAGTAAAATTAAGTATTGTCTTAAAATTATCAGATTGAATGCTCTTAAGATATAATTCTACGCCTATATTTTTAATAAATAAAATATGTAATAAATACGTATGTAGGACTGGCAAAGTTATTTCAAATGAATATTGACAGATTTTTTATAGGTGAAATCTTACCAAGGCATACGACAACATGTAAACGTTTGGTTTTCCAAATCAATATATGTATTTAAAATTATATAAAATTAGTAACAAATTTTAAATAAATTACTTCACTTCCAATTAACAAATTAAACCAAATCGTTTGATGCCACAAAGGAATGTTTTTTTTTTAAATGGACAATATTTAGCCAAAACATATGAAGGCTTTGCCAATATATACATATATGAATATAGAAGTTTAAAAACTTTGATAAATTCCATACTTCAAAATGTAATAAGTATAGCAAATAAATTGTGTAAATTTGTTCTTAGTCTCTTCATATAAAAGTGTATATTTTACAAAATTGTTTTAATTTTTATAGTTTAAAGCAAAATCATTTTATTTAATATCACTGATAAAAAGATATTTGATATTTTGATATTCCCGAATTAGCTACCAAATATATCTATGATATGATGAAGTAGTGCATAAAAATTGGGTAGTTATCACCATCGACCACTTGACATACTTTTTATGTGTTGTCAACACTATTGGAAAACTCCAATAGCATCTCATCAAAAGCGACAAAAGCCACATAGAAACCAATAAATATATTAATTATTTTTTGATTGTATTGGAGTTTTAAATAGGAAAAGCGCGATTTTCTCATACATTTTGTGTTGCAATAGCCTATAACCTCACTCATGTACCAATCAAATTGACTGTGTACGGTAATAAACTAATAAATTTAATAATAATAAATAATTAATAAATTTTATAAAAAATTTTTTTTTAATAAAAGTTGTTTTGGAATAATTGCTACCCAATTGATAGTATTAATAAATTTTATAAATGTTTTTGCTTTAAACGGGAAAGTTTTGTGTGAAACGGCAGTTATAACGGGTACGAAAACAGTATGAAAATGGATACATGATAATCCTACGAAGCCGACGACGCAGTGTCCTCCTATGGATTAAATAAATCAAATTATTTACCAATATCACAGAATAAATATATTAATTGATGGTTAAAACTAATAAAAATATAAACCAATTTAGACTTTTTATAAAATTTGTTAAACAAATATAAGATTATGAAATGGTTTATAAAAATTGTAAATATGTATATAAAAAAAGGTTAAACGCAATAATGTAAATGCAAATTTAAAAAAAAATCCATATAATAAATAAACACCAAAATTATCACCTTTCTTTATAATCATAGTTAAACTTAATATAATAAGAGTCTCTGTATGTTGCCATTTTAAGTTTAAACCGCTAAACATATTTTGATGAAACTTGTCCAGGACAAATTACATCCAGGGGACGGAAATGGGCTATCAAAAATTAGTTGATAACCATATAATATATAACTTTTCATTTTATTATACTTACTCCATCAATATAGAACAACATTGTAACTCAATATTGAGATCATTGAAAAATAGAAATGAATTTTTCATATACTATTTTAAGGTCAAAATCAAGCTTGATCAAAATTAATATTCAGTCGTAGCAAGTTAGTGTTATATAGGTCAACGGTAAAGCCGTTTCCCGACTGTCATATAAAATAAATTAATATGTTGGGACATTAACACACAGCACCATCTAGTAACTAGAACAAGTTTCGTAATTTACCATTGGACTAGATTCTTGTTCAATGGTAAGCTACGAGGCTTGTGCTATGGATACCAGATAGTTGATACACTACGCACATCGAATTTTAAATACATACAAATCTATATAGATAAAAAACTTAAAAAAAACCGACTTCCAGGCACTAAAATGTAAAAAATAACTAAACGGAGGTTTTCATTTAGAATAGATACCTACCTAATCAGATATTTTCGAAGTCGGTGCCAGCCGATGCACAGCAAATCTAATATGTTTCGATACGTAAATTAAATTAGTATATATATTAAATATTACACCTGGCTATTTGACATCAATGGTTGCAACGACGGGAGCGTTGGATACTGGTGTGATGTCATCTGGCATTTTTTTGTGGGCATTTCTGTTTCGCACGCTGGAAATTATAATACATAATTATTATAATTTATTCTTTTTAATTATTTTTTTTCAGTTTATTTACAAGGCAAGACGTGTTTAACACTAATGATTATATTTTAAAAGGAAAATATATTTGATGCTTTTTTTTCAATAGTTATTGTTTATCGCAAGAACTACTAAGTTAGTAATTCCGATATATTGAAATTTAAATTAATTTAATGGGAACATAAGAAACAAATCAAATAAAAAAAAACGACTGTCACGTCTCACATCGATACATTTTACATTCAAAAAGTTTGAAGACGTTATGACGGAACAAAAAAACATACATTCATGCTAAAAATATAACACTTTTTTGGACAAAAATATAAAACAATATGCACTTATATCATATTGTTTGACAAAATATGTGATATATACTTGTCATAAATTATATATATTGCATATAATGTCATGAATATAAACGTTAACACCACATAACAGATCAAGATTTCATCAGATTCCATATAGCTGAAAAGGTACATTGAATTAAAGTTTTCTTTAAAAGTAATTAGCAATATACTATACTATATATAATATGGACGATATTTAAACAATTTCTTATTACACATCCTTATATACAAGTCAAACATATAACCCTCCTTTTTGCTTGTCCACAGTCATAAAGCATTTTTATTCAATAATTTCTCATGTTCCGAATAAAAAATATTAAACAAGCAAACATAAACCCAAGCGAGTCCCACCACCGTATGGTATATATTTGAATACGTACGGTCACATCCCCAGCTATGTCGCGAATGGGGATGACATTGTATGGAAAATAGAAAATATAAACTTAATACACACTGTAGTGAACTAACATACAGACACACGTGTAAAATGTGCGACTATAAAGTGATAAGGTTTAAAATATATTTTAATTATTGAACACACTAAATTATATAATTATAAAAAAGTACCGTTAAATTATCTATCAAATAGTTATTATCGTTGATCATTAAATAATGATTGAATTTTAAACTAATTTATATAAAAATGAATCTGTATAAGCATAAATTAAAAAAAATGAACGATTTCGATGAAACAAAAACTCAAATGCTTATAAAAACAATAAATTAATAAATGAACCCAAAACAACACACAAAATAATTGATAAAAAATGAATCCCAATAACAAAATCAAGCATGTTAATCCAGTTTAAGATTAAATAATTTTTTTATTCATATATAATTTATATATTTAAAATTTCCAAATATATGTAAAGTTTGCAAACACACACAAACAGACAGTACGCTGTAATTCACAATATACATACCATGTGCTTATTTTCTGGTAAATGTAGATCGCCGTCATAGGCACAGGCGTCATAATGGCCACCGATACTGGCACAACTAAAAATAAAAAAAATAAATAAATAATAATTATATTAAATTGAATCATGCAATTTATGAAAAATGCATGGAAATGAAAAATACAACGTCAATAAAACAGTCGATGGGTTGCTGCTACTTCGAAAACTTTCTAAGCATTAAAGTAGAGTAATTATCTCTTCTGATTTTGTCGCGGTTTTATTATACTCATAGTACTGAACATGGCCAAGAAAGCTCGAAGCGTTGGCAATAAAAAATCACAATAATGCCATTACATAAACGGGAACGATTATCTCATTTAAATTGTCAAATGCTCGCGTAAATCTATGTTACGCTAAATATCGCTTAAAATTACATGTTGGTTAAATGGATAGGTATTGAGGTTCTCAACCATCCCTACCATGTATGTGGATGTATATTTGTGGGTGTGCTAAGTGAGCATATGTGAGGGTGTGCTTAGTGTGTATGTGTACGTGGATGTGTGTGCAGCGCTGGATTTTTACTAGAGGCACTCGGGGCTAGGTGCTCAGGGTGGCAAAATTTGGAAGTTGGAAAAAAAAACTGTTCACGCTATCGAAAACGCTTTCTCTATTTTCCAAAAAACGATTGATTAAAAAAAATAACTAGTACATTTTTCGCAAAATTGAAATCATTTTTAAATTAATTTTTTTCAAAAAAATGTTTATAAAAAAAAAAAAAAAAATCAAAACTTTGCCCATTTTATGCAAAATTTTGATAATGGGGCGGCATTTTTTACTATGCCCAGGGGCGACTCTAAGGTTGAATCCGGCCTTGTGTTTGTGTGTGTGTATGTGTGTGCGCGCGCGCATGTGTGTGTATGTGCGTCGTGGGTGCACCGACCGGTGGTGAGGTCGGCCTCGGGCTGCGGCAGCGCGTAGCGCAGCAGGAAGATGGCGATGCCGGTATTCTGTATGCCGGTCTCTATGGAGATGGCGAGCGCGTCGGCGTGCGGCTGTCGCAGCGCGCGCGCCAGCAGGTAGCCCGACGCGTAGCCCAGCCACGGCACGCCCATGCCCGCCACGACTATCTGATGTTCATATTAAATTACATTTTATTTATTTATACTAATATAAGTGTATTTGAAAGTTTTACATCTATATATCTATCTATCTTCTATATATTATATAAAGTCAGAAACTGACTGGCTGACTGATTCACTGGCTGATCAATCAACTTTATTATGTATGTAAGTACTCGTATTATTATTTAAAAAGAAAAACCGGTTTAAAATATATAATTTGTTTGTACGGAAAATAATGCTTCATTTATAAAACACATTGTTAGCGTATATTTCAATTAAATTAATTGTACACGTCACATAGTATCACAATTGTTGTAACACATTGTATAGAAAAAAAAGTTTAGCTATTTGGATCAAATTTTGTATTTAGTTCAGATTTTACTTTTAAAATTTATCTCCATTCTAGTGACTCACCCTCGCTTGGCTCGAGTTCGTCCCTAGGTTGATTCTTCATACAAACTTTCATCCCCATTTTCACCCCCTTAAGGGATGCTCCAAACCTATCCTATGCCGTTCCCAGGGTCTCAAACTATTTTCTTACCAAATTTCATCTAAATCGGTTCAGTAGTTTCGGAGCCTATTCAGTACAAATAAACAAAAAATCAAATCTTTCCTTATAATAATATTATAGAAGTATAGATATGTATAGGAAAGCTTTTCTGAAAAAAAAAACAATTTTTATATCTTTTCCGAAAAATGCTCGCTAAAAATCTTGGTCGCTCAGCTACTAATAGATAATATAAAAAAACAACAAACCTGCCAAGTGAACAGCTCGAAGATATACAAATTAGTCACAATGGCAAATACTATGATGAACAGAAGTAATGTAGTCGAGAATCCCTTTAGGATCCTGACCATGAATGCGGCAAGTCTTGGCGTAAACTTCTGCATGCCAAGACCTATGGCCAAGGGGACGATGAGGCCGACCACGAATGTGGCTATACGAGCGTATGGAACCACTATGTTTGCATTCGCAAATACTACTTGGCCTAATGAAAACAGCCAAGCTGGCATGAATCCTGAAAACAAACGAGATAACATTTAATATTGCTTATAAATTAAAACATGGTTTGCTTTACAGAACACAGAAGTTATAATAAAAATAAATTACGTTATTGTTAATTATTTAAATAGCTATTTCCGTTTACCCTAAATGGAAATGTACAATGTATGTGTAAAACCATGAATGCATTTAATTCAACTGTATATTGTCAACTAATTTTCATATTTAATTTTTGACGAGAAAGTAAACAAAAACATATATTTCTAATAAATTATACAACACACACAGACCTGAAAAACATAAAAAATCACCCTAAATCACTTTTTTTTTATTGAGACATTAACACATAACACCGTCTAGTTCCATGGTAAGCTACGAGGCTTGTGTTATGGATACCAGATAGTTGATACACAACATATATATAATTTTAAATACATATAATATACATATTATAAATATAAACACCCACGACTGGAGTACAAAAATTCAAGCTCATCGCACAAATGAATGCCCCCAGCGGGACTCGAACCCGCGACTGCGTGCACAGCAAGTAGGGTCACTACAAACTGAGCCAAACGTGTCGTCAGATAACTCATATAAGATAACTTTATACACAATTTAGAACAAAAATTTAATATAAATTAATTACCAAAGCAAGCCAAAGTAGATATAGACGTCATAGTGAGTGACAAATCTAAGTTTCCCTTCAATATGAAGGTCCATATGTTAGAGGCACCTCCACCCGGAGATACTCCAGTGAAAAACATGCCGAGACGCATTGCAGGAGATTCCGGGAATATTAGGAACCCTAGACCGAACGATATCTGGAACCAGATGTATTGTATGTTATAGAAGTTAGTCAAGTGCGAGTCGGATTTAAGCGTGTAATAACGGAATTTATAGGTTTAGCTTTTCATTTCATTTCTAAAATATTGAGCTTAGCAGTTTCAGGGATTACTTTATATTTTTTAATATCCTTAACCTAAATAAAAAAAAGTTGTTATCCGATAACGGAAAAATAAAAGTGATGTAATAAATACGAAATTAGCAAATATTTCAGTCAGAAATCAAGAAATAGATACAAAAATGGTCAAGGTATAGCGGTGGTCTTTTGCCGTAGTCGGGTAAAATTACAAAAAAGTTACAAAAAATACGGAATAAAACAGAAAGTAATGCTAAGGGATCAGACGAGTTTATATGACTACTATATATTTATTTGCTCTTACAGAAAATTGTGCACGCGATCTCAAATTACATATATTATATTAATATGCTTATAGCACAACTGGATTCGAATTCCGATTGTAAAATACATAATATCTTATTTGATAGATATATGTAAATTACTTTAAATGCATCTTAAGTCTTAATACTTTCTTAGAATTTCTTTAGTTTTTCTCATTCATATTTTTATTTCATAATATGTGTATTTACTGAAACTACCTACCAAGGGCATGAATAAGAATTGCCCGCACATCCCGATGACTGGTCCTACAGGTTTCCTTATGACACCCTTAACGTTGTTCCAGTTCATTGCACATCCAAAGTTTATGAAGATCAAGGACACCTATAATATAATAATATCCTATAAGTAATATCAACAAAAAAAAAGTCGGTCTTAAGACTTTATATTGAAATCTACACATCTACACAGAGAAAAAAAATGGAAGTGTCTTTTTGTAATGTCAAAATAACAGCTTTTTACTAAATGCATATAAAGATATATAATACGGTCCTTATTAAGAAAAAACAATTTTTAAAATTTTTATCTGTCTGTTTCAGCTACAGATAGAAATGGCTGGACCGATTTTGGCAGAACTTTCATTGACATTGAGTGAGGGTTGGCAGACTTCACATGTCATTCGTAAACTTACGAAATTTTTATTCACCTTATGACAAGTAGTAATCACATTGGAAATGATTCGCACATGATTGGTGCGAGACTCAGGATTTGAACCCGCTTCACCCGGTTTCCCAAGCGAGCGCGTTACCACTGGGCTACCACTGCCTCAACCAATTTAATCCAAGCTCTTATTGTGATCAAAATATTTAACTTTGCTATCTCGAGAGAGTAGGTATACGATTGTGTCAAATGAAAAGATAAAATTGATATTGTAAATAATGATAAATTCGTTTCACATCATTATTTTAAGCTACTTGATTACTTGTATATTAAAGTATATATATTTAAAAAAAAACAGGTAACATTTTTTTCAGGAAAAAAATTAAGCAAAGGTTATTTTTAATGTGAATTGAAAGGTTATTTTAAGGTTGATTGTTAATATTATTATTATTAAAAGAACTAAGATAATTTAAACGAGGCATAATAAGTAGGTATATATAATAATTCTCAGTAAGGTATAGACATTTTTTTTACGATGTAGAACTTAAAATATTCTGTTTTTGTTGAAAAATAAGTAAATATTTTGCTATTCCTGCCTTTAAAAAAAATGTTTGTTATAAGTTACGTTGAAATAGCTGTATTTGGATGAAAAGTATACAGATACACTATGGACTTGGAATAACACATAGGCTACTCTTATATATCTAGGCAACCGAGCGAATTGAATGCAAGTCACTAGTTGTAAATTAATACGGACTTGGAATAACACACAGGCTACTCTTATATATCTACCCTATTGAAAAACTCCAATATGATCTCATCAAAAGCGACAAAAGCCACATGGAAACCAATAAATATTTGACGACACGTTTGGCTCAGTTTGTAATGACGCTACTTGCTGTACCAGCGATCGCGGATTCGGGTCCCGCTGGGGCATTCATTTGTGTGATGAGCACGAATGTTTGTACTCCAGTTATGGATATTTACATTTATAATATGTATGTATTTAAAGTTATACATATATGTGTAGTGTATCAACTGTCTGGTATCCATAACACAAGCCTCGTAGCTTACCATGGAACTAGATGGTGCTGTGTTAATGTCCATACATATTTAATTATATTAATTGGTTTCTATGTGGCTTTTGTCGCTTTTGATGAGATCCTATTGGTGACAAGTCACTAGTTGTGAATTAAAATAATAATAATAAATGTACTTACAAAAAGTGCGACACTAGATACGAACACCCTGTCTATAATTCTTTCAGGTCTGGTAACCGTGATAGGTAAAGTACCGTTGATTGGTTGTTGACTGGCGTCTCGATGCAATTCTACTACTAAATCTGTTCTACCTGTTAAAGAACATAAAATAACAATTAAATATGTATTTATTGGATAAATTTTTGTTTTTCTTTTATATAGTTTAAATAATTTGGAGGTTAATATACCCCTTTTATATTTCATTGTTTATTTTTAATATAATATGATGTGGGTGTAAATAATCTTTGACAGTTAATCTATTTTATTGAAAGTTTAATCGCTTTTTCTCAGAAATGGTGAATCTTAGAAAAAAAAGTGTAACGACAATCTTTATATATATAATTCTTCTGTGAGTGTGTATGTCACTGAACTTCTCTCAAACGACTGGACCGATTTTGATGAAATTTTTTGTGTGTGTTCAAGGGGATCTGGGAATGGTTTAGATTCACAATTTGAATAATAATTTTCATCAAAAAAATTATTAAAAAAAGTTTGAAATTTTCAAATTAAAGACGTGTAGACAGGACAACGTCTGTCGGGTCCGCTAGTTTTTGTATATAATTGCATAATCTACAATTTTTATCCCAGCTATTTTAATCATAAAATTAGCCGTTTCGCTGGAAAATCCAAAAAAAAAACATTTTTGCAAACTTTGACCTTGCATAAATTTTTTTGCACACATGGGATTGATTGGGGCTTTTCACAATTTTATTATAATGGTATCCCTAACGTTCATGTAAATTTTTAGCTTCTTGGGTATTTATGCAAGGGTACCCCTATTTTTCGGGTTAACTTGACCGGACTACATTATATTATTTGAAAGTCAAAAAACCAATTTGTCGCGATTGTAGTTAGCTGTTAAATACCTATGGGCTGTCGTCGCCTGTCACCTTTAATCGCCCTTCAAGAAAAGGTGCCTCAAAACTCAGATCAAAATAAATGCTTAAAACTTATATTTGAACACGTATTAATATTGAAAACCTTGATAATACGATTAGAAATGAGCAGTAATTGCGTTCTCTACAAATAGATAAACGACTATTAGTAAAAAATTATAAAGCAATTTATAGGTGAGAATCTATAATAAATAAAAAATATAAATTAAAATGGCTATAATATCCTTCCTTTAATTGAAAAACCAATACTTACATTTATTTATAATAGAAGAGAAAATTAATTTTCAATTGTTTTAATTACTAATATTATAAAGAGGAAAGATTTGATATTTTGTTTGTTTGTACCGAATAGGCTCCGAAACTACTGAACTGATTTAAATGAAATTTGGTAAGAAGACAGTATGAGACCTGGGAAAGACATAGGGTAATTTTTATCCCGTAAATCATCACATAAGGGGGTGAAAATGGAGATGAAAGTTTGTGTGAAGAATAAACCTAGGGACGAATCCGAGCGAAATACGGGTGAGTCGCTAGTGATATATATTCCGGAGACCGGAATTCATAAAAGTAAGTGAAAAACATGGCAAATAAACCGCTTTACACCATGGAAACTATAATAAATAATAATTTATGTCACTATTAAAACGTACACACAAGATATGATTTTTATTTAAAGATAGTAATTCTATCGATTAGTTTTTAGATAATTCTACTTTAATAAGAATATATATACCATATATCAAATTGTTCATTGAGAAAACAATATGATAATGAACGGAAAATTTGATAAAAAATATAGGGCGAAATAGAAAATCATAATATGCGAACTTACCGAGAAAATGTCCATCTACCCTAAATTTGCCTTCAAATTTTTCATTAGTCACCTGAAGCTCAGTGAGGCGATATGTTGAATTCCATTCTGCCGTGGCTATATGTTCGTTTGTTGTTTTTAAATATAATACGTCGTCTACTCGAAATCCTGATCCTGTAAAAAGTATATGTCTTTTTATATGCAAGCATTTTAAAAAAGTATTCTTTTTGACAAACCTTGGCGGATACGGATATATTTAAAAAAATAAAAGAGCCTGGAATTATGATCTTATTCCCATGATTTTATTTATTTATTTATTATTTATTTATTACTAAACACACTTACAATACACATGTTAAAATAATTCAATACAATCATCAAAGTAAAAAAAAGAAATAGACATGCATATCATTTACAAGTGTACATAGCATTTGTAATATTATGGAATTATTATAGTAATTGATAAAAAATACAAAAATTTTGGTTAAAAGAGGGAGATGTCGGTGTCACCTGTGTTCACGACTGGATCGAATTAATTGACACATTAAAAATATTAAAACCCAATGCTTAAAAGAACAACTGTTGAATTTTTTGCCAGCTTTTCTCATAAAAACTTCTTTTCATCACCATTCGGGTGGTGAATCACGGACAGACTGCACTGACGATATTAAAATTAATCTTATGTTCTATCTCAAAGGTACTAAATATAGGAATAAACTTTCCTACAAGTATAAGCATTACCTATGACCACATAAGTTAGAAAGGAAGATATCAACTTCGACTTTCTTACATGAGTAATGAGATTGCGATACTACTCGGACGTTCCCACGGTAACAAGGTCATATTATATAATATAGTTTTTGACATTATATTATTTTTTACCAATAGAAAGTAAGAAATTAAGCAAGTAAAAAATACTTTTGTGACATCGACCAAAGTGATATTTTAAAGTCAAAGTTGTTTTTAAAGAAAAGTTCTTGGCTAATTTCAAGATTTAAATTTTAATCCCTCATGTTTTATCCATACAAGACTGAACATGGATATGTCGAAATCAATGAATAACCCATGAGATATTGTCCGTTCTAAGAATAACTATACGTAGTGACTACTGGTATAAAGTAGGTTGTATAGTTATGTTTTAGACTTTAGTAAATACACGTGTAGCTATCCCGTCTTAATAAATAATGATGTATAGGTATATATTTCTACCAAAAACGATACTAAGCAACAATGTGCAAAATATTATTGGGACTAAAACACGCTGTATTGATGTTATGTATCCACATTTATATATAAAAATACGAAGTGGATATCTTTATATTCCGGGAAAGAAACGGGATCCTCGCGGATGTCTCGGATATTAAAATGGCGACAAAGCATTCATAATTTTTAAAATATCCGTTTTACATGTAAAAATACTTGAAATATGCAGAAAAGGCACAAGTTTAGTATATGGGACGCGGCCCCTGGAGAAGTCGGTGGTTGGTTAGTTAAAAATGTTGTAAACTTTAAGTCTCAATAACTTTTGACTCTTTCGTTTCGTCAAAATAAATTTTATATATTTGGACTCCCTATGACCTCCCATATGCAAAAATACCACCCAACGCTCTAGGGCCCGCGTCCCATATACTACACTGCAGCCGCAGAAAATAGCTGAAAATTCGGCATCTTTGCCATAACTAGTAAAAAAAGAGAATCTTTTCTTACCTATAACATTGACATCGACATAATAATGGTCATTCATGTGTACTTGATCGACTTCTGTCAGGAATTCAGAAAGGAGATTCGGCGCTGCCTGGCAGAGCACCCACAGAGGGCATAACACCAGTATATATAATATTATCAAATGCAGTGGCCATATCGGACACATCTTGCTTCCGTACACTGTAACAAAAAATGTATATTCAATAATAAAACAAATTACAGCTATAAAAAGTTCTAGCACAAAAAAGTTACTACGTGTTCCGTAACAGGACGTTTAAATAATACTGACGTGTTCGTTTAAATTTAAATAATATAATATAGGTACAAATGGTATAAGGATACTAATTTAATAAAATTCGTGAACACTCCATTTTCGCCTAGAGTTCGAAATATTTATTTATGCTAATAATAATTATTATTATTTCCGTCTTTATTCCATAAAATATCACAATCACATATCTGCAATTACACTTTATAGGTTGACATTTCTCACTCACTTTTTAATAAAAAAATATAGGCAATAGGTACAATTTTTTTTACTAACAATACATTCCTAAACTACTACACAAATAATATAATTAATTAAAATTATAAATAATGTCCATCTGGACTCGAAGCTAGTTTTAAAGAGATTTTCATTTTATTTGATCCTTTCGAAATCAGCTCACTTACGCCTTAATCACATTTGTCCTTATTTTAAGGTAATAAGGTTGAAAATTGATAAGAAATTTTAAATTATAGTCCCGTCGTGGTCGATGTCACGTAGAGATATCGTCTGATAAAAATGTATTTAGCCGCTTATATCGCAAATTAATCATAGTTATCAACGAATAATAAATAATAATTAAAATTGAATATTTCCATCAGATGAAATTTTGATAAACATTCAGATACTACTTTTTCGTGTTTTCCGAAATTCTGTATTAACATTTTAAAAAAATATGAAAATCAACCGATGCAAAAGTCTTTACCAAAACATTTTTTTTTCACTTTTAAAGTTGATAAACAAAAAAAAATAAAAGCTTTTAAGCTAAAGCAGAAACTCCTTGGTGCGGTGTGAATAATAAGCAGACCGTAATAGTGTTACTTTTATTATATGACCTAATCAAAATTATGAAATAAAATTCTAAAACGATAAAAAATTTCTTTTATTCTTTTTGAAATATGTGGTTGTATTAGATTAACTAGTGAGCGTTTCTATGTACATATTTTGATCGAATTCGATAAGGTGGAGGAACACAATTCTGTCAATTTGTCTGTAGGAGTGTTGCGCGATCTTCGCCAATTTTGAACCGATTTTTACACACTTTTGTGCTGTCATATAAAAGGTTCCACCCCTAAAGAAGGAATTACTACTTGAATTAAATGATTTTGCAGGTACTTATGCCCGATTTCACCAACGTCACCTAAGTTTAAGGAATCCCCTAAGCATGGTTAGGGGGCTGTTAGGGGACAGTTTCTGTTTCACCGACAGTTAGGGGTCACCTAAATGTTAAAATGCCACCTAAATTTAGGTGCTCGAAATATGGGCTTAAAGACGATGGTAAAACGAAATTAAATTTAGGGGCTAGTTTAGGGGACTTTTAAGCTAGGCATCCTATACGTAGGTGGTAGCTTATGGGTTGTTGGTGAAATCGGGCATTAGTGTTTCTCTTTAAGTAAATGTTAATGTTATTTAATATTGCAATAGAGGATCTGGATGTGCCATGGTCAAAAAAATAGCTTATGGGATAAGCCTGTGGCTCCCCTGTCCCAAGTCAGTTGGACGAGTGGATGAAACAAAATTCAATAAAGATTTTTTGAATTGATATCATCTATACAAATAAATGTAATTGAAGTGTCTGTTTGTATATAATGTCTAATACGGCACTTATACGATAAAAACAATTTTTAAAAATGTTGTCTGTCTGTTTGTTTGTTCTGGCTAATCTCCGAAATGGCTGGACCGATTTTGACAGGACTTTCACTGGTAATTAGCTGATCTCATAAGGTGTACCTAACATAGGCTACTTTTATTTTAGAAAAAGAATTAAGTTTTCGCGCAAAAAAAATTAAAGCCCATGAAATTGTGAACAAAATCCGTAAATGCATTTAAGCATACCACCGGTATATATACATACAATTGGTTATGTGGGACTCGCCGGCTTGAAAAACCAGTACTACTCACTAAAACCAAAAAAAACCTCCCCCATATGGGGCATAATGCTCCCCCATGCGTTGGGGGGAATCTAGGAACGCACCTGAACGAAGCGAGGTTATGTCGTAAGTTGATTAATAACTTTGGAACGACTTTAATAACACAAAGTTCTTGTAAAATAAATACAATGTAAACAAGGCGAAAGGTCAGCATTTTTTATTATTTTGCATGACTGTGCAGAATTTACCTTAACGCTCTTTATATATATATATATTAAATATTACTTAAATAGTATATGTATTAAAAATATAACAAAATATAAAGTACTTGAAGATTATCTCAATGTTAGACGCAAACAACAAAGCATATTTCATAAATAAATCAAGTTTAATAGATAAGAAATCATAATTTTTTTATGTCCTATGTCCAATAACATCGCAAATTGTTGATTACACTTTGCGATGCTCAATAAAATTAAATAATTTAATACTTAAATCAACATATACATCTACATACAAGTATATCCTATTATTAAAACTATATGAATACAAAACGTTTCAACAACAAACAACACTTTCTCTGGAATGATATTTTATTCTGAATTCGTAAAACAGAACTTTACGCGGTGATAATTTACTTAAAGATTTAAATAAAGGCGTTAAGAATTTATTAAGAACATATTTAATTAACATAAATATTAACGATAAGTATATTTTTTAGTAGTCACACTGAAGAGCTCAAATATGATATAAAACAATAGAAATTAGAATTACCATTTCAAATAGGTTCGTAATTGAAATTTAATTGTTAATTAACAAATTTCATACTTACATGACTTCATATTAGTTCGACCAATATACTATTATTATTTTTTATATTATAAATCGTAATATCAACAATGGTTACTCCGTCACAATAATTGTATTCCATGTGTGGAATAACATTGATTGTGTTATCTATAAGTATATTCAAGTGCATTAAAATAAGTATGAGATAATGAACACTAAAATATAACACGAAGTTCAATATAATAAAAATATTTGATCCTCAAAGAGCAAGGTTTATAGTAAAATAAAAAATACGTTTAGCGTAATAATGACGTACCACAATGCTATACATATAATAAAATTGAGTCGAATTTGTACATTAAATGTTTCTTGGAGAATCTTATTGAAATAATTATTATTATCGATACAGACACCGAATCTATAATTTTTAGATTTTTTTGTCTGGCTGTCAGTTGGACGCATCACTAGAAAACCACTGGACGGATTTTGATGAAATTAGGTATGGATGATAGCTGGTTATCCGGGTCAACATATAGGATACTATTTACTGCCGGAAAATATCTCATCTCTGAGAAATCTATACTAATCGTATTCTATATCACAAAATTACGTAAGATCGAATAATCATACACGTTCTTTTAATTAATCTTTTAATTATCACATTAATACCTAAAAGTTTAATTCATTCCTTTTTGAAGTATATTGTTAATAGAAAAAATAAAATAGGAAAACACATGGAAAAATAATAATTTTACAAATGGAAATCTTATTATTTCCTAATTTTTGTATTACTTAAATTGACTCTGAAGCAAGAGAATGTCTCCAGTTACTGGGCTATTAAATAGGTTATTTCGACTATGATTACTTCACTTTCTCTACAATTTTTTAAAGACGTCTTCAAAATTTTACACTCTACAGTCCTCATATATACTCGTACTAACACACCATTTCATTGTTTATGTACATCTGCATTTCTGGTTGGGGGGGCACCCAAATACCCTGCAATATTTGTTAATTTTAATTTTAAACATTTTTTATAATTTTATTCAAGCCATATTAATGTTCTTTAATTATTTAATTTAAAAAAAAAAGTTAAAAAAATGATATATAGAATATAGATCTAAGAAAGTTATATGACTTTTATTTATCAAAGAGTAAATAAAAAAAAAATTATTATTATTAAATAGAAAATCGATAAAAGATCATTGAAAATGATCCTTTTTGTCAAATAAAAAAAATTCTATCTGATGATTCTAAAATCAATACAACCATAATATTATATGTATTTACAAAGTTTTCCGCTCATTTCACTCAAGTTTCACTGGCTTTTAAGTTTAATATTATTTTGTCTTTGTAACAAAAAATGAGTTCTCAGCTTTCTTACCACGCTTCGATCTATTTCTAGCATGAAATGTTATTGACAATATCACGAATTTTTTTATTGAATTAAGATTTTGATATGATTTCCACTCGTCTTTCCTGTTGACCTAGATTTCACTTCAACAGTTATTAATATAATTGTCTACAGGTGCCTGATTATCTATAGGTAATAGGTATAGGGTACCTATTAAAACTACTATTATAAGCAACCCTGGTTTTGCTTTCTATTGCTAGTAAAATTCATCATTAGTTTCTTGAAAGTTGAAAGTTATTTGTCGTAAATAAAATTAGATATAATTTACTTTATATCTAAATAATATAATAGACATTATCATCGATACAGAGGCCAAATCTATAGCTTTTAGAATTTTTGTCTGTCTGTCTGTTACCGCATCACGGAAAAAACACGAGAGGGATTTTGATGAAATTTGATATGATGATAGCTGGTTATCCGGGTCAACATACTTATAGGATACTTTTTACTACGGGAAAATATCTCAACACTGTGAAATTTATAACTTTAAAACGTAACTAGGTACGAACCCGAGCGGAGCGTGAGTCGCTATATATATTTCGATGTTATATATCGCAATAAAAAATTAATGATGACATTATTGTTGGTCGCAAATCGCAATGAATTCCTAAACAATGGGTGCTTGTATAGTGACTCTGAGGGCCTCGGCTGTTATTGTTAGACACGATAACCAACCATTTGACTTAACCATTCAATTCAATAACATGAAGTTTACATTTGCAATGATAGAGTTTACAAAGTCATACATATCACAAAACGCCTTTAAATTATGTAGATTTGTTACAAGTTTGTTATTCGAAAATGTATTTACTATTATAGTAAAAGTATTTGGCTTTTTAGTAACGGTTTGAAAACTTATTCAAATTCTCGATAAGAATTTCTTTTTAGCTATATTAGTACGAGTAGATATTCTAACCAGAAGTGTATTTTGATAGCTTATTAGAGAAGGATGCTTCGTAGACCATAGCTCGCTAAGATGAATAAAATTATATTTCATCACAGTCATACTTATGATAAGATCTAGGTTATTAATTATTTTTAACCGACTTCCAAAAACGAGGAGGTTCTCAATTCGTCGGAATCTTTTTTTTTTATTTATGTTCACCGATTACTCCAAGACGCCTGAACCGATTTGGAAATTTTTTGTTTGAATGGGTATACTTCCCAGTATTTGAAGTGTAGACGTAATAACAAAGTAATTTGTAAGAAGGAAGTTTTTAATAACATATTCGATTAAACAATTTGCTTAAAAAAATATTGTTGATTTTTTTTAAAACCGCTCGACCGATTTCGATAAAATTTATATGGGACCCCATATCATAAAATTTATAATCGGTGCCAGCGGACAATATTTTAAGATATGAATATCTAATAGGTAAATATGTATTTTACGTATCAAAATATATTAGATTTCCTATGCGTCGGCTGGCACCGACTTCGAAAATATCTGATTAGATTCTAAATGAAAACCTCCGTTTAGTTATTTTTTACATTTTAGTGCCTGGAAGTCGGTTTTTTTTAATTTTATTTAACCAAGAATTCTTTACTATTTTGCTCTCATTGGCTGTCGCTAACCAGATAACCTTGAAAAGCCGATTGTAGTAGACAATGTTGAAGGCAAAGGACCCCGTGGCCGATTACCTTGCCGCTACTCGTGGTAAAAACTGTGCTGAAACTGTAAATTAAGCGAGAGGGAAGGAAAAAACTACGAATATAAAGCATAATTTCACAGGTTTACAGGTTTATATACAGACTTCAGACTTAAGCAAAAACAGTCAGGTAAAAGGAACCTTAAAAGAATTTGCTATACAAATATTGCCCGAATTTCATTAAATAAAAAATTTGTAATATGTATTATTTCAAACAAATCGGACATAGTAAGTTAGCTTTCTTATTTAACGGCTAAAGAAAATCTCAATTGGCTGCAAGCAGCGATTTCGTAAACAAATCTGATTACAATTTTAAACGTATTTAAGGTAAAATTTACAAATCTGGCTCTAAATCAAACTAACACAGCATGATAAATACACATACGCTTTGACGAATACTATGCAGAAATCGAATCTGGGACTTCAAATAGCAGATCGTGCAAGTGAAAAATAAAATAACTTTACCAAGACTTAACGATTGCCAGTAATTATACTTTCAACTTTGAATATTACGTTACGTACAGTATTTCAACATATATCACAAGGACAGAGCGAGTGCTATATGTGCAAAACATACCTACATGAAATGGCTTACGATCACTCAGTATTACTAACAGTTTAAAAGGATTACAGGATATAATTATAAACCTAAAAAAATATTTTTGGCTTCATTCTCAGACCATAATTGTTAGTTGAAATAAAACCTCATAGAATGAATATGAGATGATTACTATTGACTATTTATTAAAAGAAAATAAAGCATTAAAATGACTTCACAATTGATAAATATAAAAACATACATGTACATATAAAAACATGTACTTATATTGAAAATCTCCTCCTCTTTTTTAAAGTAGGTTATAAAAAGACTTACGTGTACGTGCTCTATGGAGAAAATGTAAAATTAAAAAAAGACCAATTTTCTTAACTACTTCGGGACTGTCCGTAAACCTTAACTAGAATCCGGACCTTGAACTTCGGATCATTGTTGATAACACCTAATAGAATAGGGTTTCTACTTTCTGCTACTAGATAAGAAATATAACAGCGACAACGTTTGAAATAGTGATTAGAAGGATGTATTTATATTTGCTATATCAGTGGATCTGTTGTATTATTTTTGTACAAAATTATTTTTGTTTTTGTTATAGATATTATTGGCGATCAGTAATAATTAATAATACTATAAGCGGAAGAGCTGGAATGTGACATTTACTCAGTGTACAACTGGACACTTCAATGAGAACACGACTCTTGATTTGGATATATGTACATCGACTGCAGAGAATGGCTAGTTTACCTGGAAGTGAATCTTTGTTCAGATCGGGCAGCTTAATTGAAGCTCGCTTTAGGAAAATGGCTTTAACATTAAAAAAATATTGTAAGGTACTTTGGTGCCATTTTTCAATTTTTTGAATTTATTTTGTTATTTGTGGGTAGGTTGTCTGTAACAACTATATATGTAATACCTTTGAGACATCTAACACCTTAGTCTCTCCCGTAACCATGATTGCTGTACATCATTCTTTGAAGTTTCAAGTCAGTTTTATTTGAAGAGATTTATTAATTTTAACCCAATAACGTTATAATAAATACTCAAGTTTATGAGAAATAAAAACTTAAAAAAAATACAGACTTCAACAAAACACTAAAAAGTAAAAAATAACTGATTGGTAGTAGAATTCAGTGAAAAATTATTCCTTATTTTCTACACTGGATTTTTTTCAAATAATTTTTTTTTATCGAAATCGAACTATACGAAATTTTGATTTACACTGTAAAGTTATGCGTGATCAAATATAAAAAAATACGTGTCAAATTGAAAACCTCCTTTTTTTCGTAGGTTAAAAATAACACAGCCATTAATGGAAATAATACAAGATATATATATGTACATAGTTCAATTTAGGAATTGTCTACGTCGTAAATAATAATTCCTATTTCCCACTTTGTAATTATTGCATTATCTAGAGGCAAAATTATAATTAGC